TTAGTTTTATTAATGTAAAATACTTTTCATATCAAATTTATTAAAATTTATTATTTATTAGTGTAATTCAAATTAGAAATTATTTAATATATTAATATAGAAATTTAGAAAGTAAATATTGTATATCGGTTAAATTTTTAAAAGCAGATATACAATCCATTGAAATATTATTAAATGATACTCATTACTTTACCCTTAGTGGCTGGCTCTTGCATATAAATATTACTCATGTTTGTAAATTTCCTATAATAAAAAAAATCCTGCATCAATGATATTTCATATTAAATCTTTAGTCATTTATAAATCAGTCAACCAAATTGTTCTTTTCTCGAATAATCATCAGCAGGTAAGACGTACCTTTTACCGCCTTTTGACATTGGCTTTATTGGCCCAATGAAGTCCATGATGTGCCATAGCACCATTATACTTGCTGCTTTTATAGTATCAAAGTTCCCATAGATATTTCTACACATTTGTATCTTAATGCAGCAATTACACTCTATATTCAATTTATCTTTAACTTTATAACTATTAGCGAGTGTCCATTCTTTGTTTCTTTAATGATCCTTATATTTGTATGTCCATGCCTCACATCCTTCCTTGTTCATACATATGCTGCCCCTTTCTTGTTACTTTATTCGACATAATATGTGTTTCCTCTTCTCACTGCTTCCATTCGAACCACTATATCAATTTCATTCCTTTTTGTGTGCCTAAGCCATTTCGATTTTGTGAACCTTCATTTGACCATCAACGATTTCTATCTTGTATGTTATATCGTTATCTGACCTAAAATTCAATAGACATACATAACATATTTATATTGCTGCTTCAATTTTTTCTCGCTATAAAATATAATTCTTGATTATTGATTATTTTAACAGAATATTGTCTTTTTAGAATCAAGCTCTGCTATCACTAATAAAAGGTGGAAAAGAAATGGCTCATAACTTATACTATTTAATTACAACTAAAGGTTATGTTGATATAAATACTTACATTTTTTTCGTGATGCAGGAACACATGCATGGACATAACAATGCTTCCGGCGTTTGTTTGCAATTTTCTCTCATTTCCTATGCACTCTCCTGTTCACTTGGTGAAAAATTAACATATTGCTTAATTTCGATGATTAATTTATGAAATTTTATAATTGCGTTGTAAAGGCGTACCTTTGTATATTTGTCGTCTGCCAGGTAAAGAAATGAATGCTGATTGTCTAATTAAAACCACTATTTGGGTTGAATTTATTAAAGAATGTAGAAAATTTTATCGGATTCTAAAGTGAATAAAAGGAGGAGGAAAGAGAATGTGCGATAGTTATTTATGTCCTTTTATTGTTTATTTATTATGTCCACCACGTCACGTAGATTTAGGCGTCTACCTAATCCGTGCTTCGAGTCTAAAATCATAGATGGCTCTGATGTTAGTTTACTAACTCTGGTTATGTGCTGCGAATATATTTTAATAAATCAAATCAGCAGTGGAAAATTCGCTAATTACTCAATAGCTGTGATTAATTTATAAACTTTTATAATTGTATCGCAAAGCCAGTTTCTTTAAGAACTTTCCAATATATTTTTCGATATAAATTTTTCCCTAACTAATTAATTATTAATAATTATTCTACGAAATGTTTGAATTGTTGTCGAAGATTGTCGAAGACGCCATTGATTTTTCATTAATTACTATCCTTTACGCAATTAATTTATGAAACTTTACGCACTTATTAAAAAGACAATTTTCTTGCGAATCTTCTCATATAACTTTCGAACACATTTTGTTTCTAGTTTCGTTTAGTAATAAATATTTCCACGGATGGTCGAGATGGTCGCCGTTACGAAATCATAGACGCCATAAAACAAAAATTAATAACTAACAATATAGAGTTAAAATCTTTACGAAAATTAGATAAGAATGTAGCCCGAAGTTCCAGCTTTGCAATAAAATTATAAAAGTTCATAAATTAATTACAGAAATTGAGTAATTAATAATTTTTCCCTGGCGGAACCCTTCTATCCTTTTCTATCCCCTCTCTGTCCCTGTCAGTCACGTGACCAGCACCTCGACGACCTCCTTGCCTATTCTATGTTCCTATCACTTTCTGGCTTTTTGAGCCCAAATCATAGATGGCGCTGATCGAAACTGCCGAATGTGAAACCACGTGACCCGTAGGGCGGGAGAAACAAAGCATTAACAGGACATAAATAAGTATAACACGTTTTTCTTCCTTTTATTTACTCTCTTAATAGCCCGTTGAACAAGAAGTCACAGATGAAGATGCGTGGTTTTGTTCGTGATAAAAAGAAAATGAAACTGCCACGGTTATATGTTAAAGTACTTTTTATTCACTTTAAAAGTTTCACATATACATGTCAATTGTTAACGACATAATAAATAATGACAAATAGACATTAGAATCTGAGTACATGTCCGTATCACGGACCGTTGCGAGAAAAAATGTTTCGTAATACATATCACGTAATAATTATCATTATAATGACCATATATACATGTACAATATTTATAGACATATGATAAATGATTCTATTCCAATACATGAGTTATCCTAATAATTCTTGATATCTCTTATCGTTCATCTCCTCGACTTTCTCTTGTGCTAACCCTCATAAGCAGTTTTTATTCCCTAATCATTCTCCTTTATGTCCTTATCATCTTCAACATCATCTATTTTATAATTTTGTACTTTCTTCGGATCCTTTTTCGTATCTCACAATGTATTTTTTATCCTTTTCCCCATTTCTCTGCAGATATAAATATAAGAAACAGTCAATAAAAATTCCTACTTTCTATAACATAGTTGTAATGCAAATAATAAACTAACTCTTTCTCTTTCTTTACAACTGCTAATTCTTCTTCAGTTTTTAATTCGTCGTCATTTTCCCAATCGCTAATGCGGACTTCCTTCCTTTTTTTACTTGCAAGTCCAGATGGTTCAACAGCTGGTTGTAAGCTTAATTTTGGATCAGTTAAATGATCATGAGGTGATTCGCCCTTACCACTAAACTTTTTATTTAATATCACAGATTCTTCTTCATCTTCCTCTGCTTCTTCACCAAATGATAAAAGATTGAAATCTCTGTAACAAAATTTTTCATTGCAAAGAACAATATTATCTGGGCTAAATTCTGCAAACATATATGATTCTCACTTTACTGCTGCTGTTTTAGTTTTTGAATTGTCCTTTTCTTCTTCACTTTCCTGTACTATTATTCTTAGTATAGTATCAGAAAATGGATTGTTCAATATTATAGTTTTTATCAATATTGGAGGACAAAGTGGTCTATCATTCTACAAAAAAGTGGAAATATTATCTTTGTATCAATTATTGTCATATTTTCTTTTAAACATTAAGTTTACCTCATCTGCAAGTGCTTCTTCGAGTTTAAGCATGCTATATATAGATTCTCCAGTGACTTCACCAAAGATTGTATGTTTATTCTGCAATTCTGGTGTACAATTAAGAGTAAAGAAGAATTGTGAACCATTGTCATCTTTTCCAACATTAGCCATAGTAATTAAATCTCGACGACAAAAACGTAATCTTGTATGAAATTCATCCTAAAACACATATATCCAATAATTATTTTTGAATAAGAAAGTAATTCATTTTATTTTTAAATATACTCTCAATCTAAATGGTTCTCTATATATTTTACCATCTTCTCATGTACCTGTGGAGTCACTGCCTTGTGTTATGAATCCCTTGATAATTCTATGAAATATAGTGTCATCAATAACCTTCCATACATAATTGTATGAAATTTCTACATGCCTTTGGAGTTTCTTTTGCCCATAATTCTAACTCAACATCACCAACAGTTGTTTTCATTACAACCTAGTTATAACAAATATATTAGTTTGATTAATGTAAAATCCTTGTAAAATTAAATTTGCTAAAATTTATTATTTGTTATTGTAATTCAAATTAGAAATTATTTAATATACGAATATAGAAATTTAGAAAGTAAATATTGTATATCGGATAAATTTTTAAAAACAAATATACAATCCATTGAAATATTATAAAATGATACTTATTACTTTACCCTTAGTGGTTGGCTCTTGCATATAAATATTACTCGTTTGTAAGTCTCCTATAATAGAAAAAATCTATCATCAATAATATTTCATATTAAATATTTCGTTATTTATAAATCAGTTAACCAAGTGGTTCTTTTCTCGAATAATCATACCTTTTACCTCCTTTTGACATTGGCTATATTGGCCCAATGAAGTCCATGATGTGCCACAGCATATTTCTGCCCAATAGATATTTCTACACATTTTGCCTTAATGCAACATTTGCACTCTATATTCAATTTAACTTTTCCTTTCATAACTATTATCAATTGTTCATTCTCCATCTCTTCAATGATCCTCATATTTGTAAGTCAATGCCACGCATGCTTTTCTCTTGATACATATGCTGCCTCTTTTGTGCTTCTTGATTTGACATATATATTTCCTCTTCTCACTCCTTTTATTCAAACTTCACACATTAACGATGATCATTGACTTTGACCACTGATATTAATATTCATTTATATCAGGAACACAACATACCTTTCAATCTCACTGTATTCTTCGTATCTTGTTGATATAAGAGGCCATCACCTAAATTAATTGTATTCCTTTTTGTCTGCCTAAATCATCTCCATTTTCTGAATTTTTATTTGACCATCAAAGATGTCTATCTTGTTTGTCATATGGTTAACCGACCTAGAATGCAATAGACATATCATGCTTTACATATTTATATTGCTGCTTCAATTTTTTCTTACTATAAAGTATAATTCTTGGCATCTACACTGATGATATTCCATGAGTCTACTATTTTTCTCTTGTTGCACGTTCCTGTTTATTTCAACAGAATATTGTCTTTTTTAACTTGCACTATTTAATTATAACTAGAGGTTATGTTAATACAAATACTTACATTCTTTTCGTGATGCACGCACACCTGCATGGGCACAACAATGCTTCCGGCGTTTGTTTGCAATTTTTTCTCATTTCCCATGCACTCTCCTGTTCACTTGGAGAAAAATTAACAAATCGCTCAATTTCTGTGTTTAATTTATGAAATTTTATAATTGCGTTGTAAAGACGTACCTTTGCATATTTGTCGTCTGCCAGGTAAAGAAATGAATGCTGATTGTCAGTTTTCATAGACGAAAGATGATCACAAAATAAAAATAGATTGAAAAAACTACCAATTATTGACGGGTATCGAACCGGGAATCGGTCATTCAGCATAGAATTGTCAACATTTGCCGATAGGCCACGACTTCACTTGAAAAGTGTTAGAAATAAATCTATAATTTATGAAGTAGTAAAACGTTAATCGTAAATATTTCAAAAACTGTTGAGTAGTTGCCGCTATAATGATATATTTTCCTGAACTGCATGACGATATCTAGAAAGCTGTAAAGTTTCAACTGAATCGGTGACTCGAAGGACTTGGACTCTCCTTGTTAGACCTAAGTTCCAGACGGGGACACTCTATTCTAGTAAACGAGTGCCCGTTATTAACCATTCCTACAAATATATTAATAAATATGCTAGAATTAATATATTAGAATAAATATAAATAACTATATTAGAATAATCCGTATAATCCTAATAATTCACACGAATAATCCTAATTTTTCCAGATCGAGGATCATAAGACTACAAATCGCGGTAGCTTGAGGTTCAACCCCAAGTCCCTTGAAGAAGCAACCACTGCGTCCCCACTCCTAACGAGATTCAAAACGACACGTGGCAGGTCAGCGCAATCGAAGAGGTTGAGCTTCGACAAACCTAACGATGCTTCGACCTTAACCTCTATAATCGACTCGGTTTCGAGCTTCGACTCGAGCAAAGAGTCGAACCTGAGAACGACCAGGACCACCGAACGAGGAAGCTTGTTCAACGTCAGGAACGACTCTAGAAGATCCACATCGGAGAAAAAGCCCGAGGAGCCTAAGAAAGACCTAGACTCAACGGTCAACAGAAGAAACGGGAAGAGATATTTCTCCGAGACCAACGAAGGACCAAACCCGAAAGGCAATGGCCAGAAAGTCTCCCTTGGAACGTCTAAAGGGTTCGCTCGAAGATCGTTCAATGGAAGAGCCAGTGTCACTGAAAGACTGGACAACAAAGGGCCATCCGTGTTCCTGGCTACCACGGAATCTTCGAGGTCCAGAACTGGAAGGAAGATTCAAACGACCTACTCCATGAAAGACCTGAAGACGCAGATACCTAATTCCAGAAGATACACCAAGAAGTTCGAAGACTTGGAAACGACTACAGTTTCGTTCAGAAGAGATGGCAGAGGTAGATCAACGACAGAGAAGACTGAGAGGAGCACCAGGTCTGGTAGATCAAAGATTGCGAATAGAGAGAACAATTATATCACTCGGAGAGGTCCGGATCCTCTTTTGACAGAGTCTGAGAGCGTTAGGGTCGACATCCCTTTCGAGGTTGGTAGCACGGAAACACCGTTTCCTGACGCAACCACTGCGTTTACTACGGTTGCGCAGAGGAGATCAGACTCCAAAGAGTCGATCAGGTCTAGTACAAGAACGGGATCTGAAAGACCGAAGAATCGTGGACGAGTGAGCGACTCTGAGGCTGCTGGGTCGTCCAAGTCTGGTGCTCGAAGAGGATCTTCCAAGTTCAGCGATTCGACGACCACTGAGCCAGATGAGCAGATAGTTAGTTCGAGGAAAAACGCGTTTCCCAGGGATCGCTCGAGAGGTGCAGATGTCAGGAAGAATTCCGTGATCGAGTCCAGATCGAGGTCTAGGGGCAGAAATTTGGAGAACAACGTGAAGCCTGTTCCGAGTGGCAACTTGGAGCGAGATGCGAAACGCAAGGTGGCTGGAGAGAGGAATTCTTCGGAGAGGAGGTCGAGAATTCTTGATGCTAACTTCAGATCTGCCGAAATTCGTGGACAGGACGCTCAGGACTTGCGCGGAAGGTCGAGGAATAGGCCGAAATTGGAAGCTACCACGCCTGTTATAACGGGTGAGTACAAGTTCTCTGCTTCTTTAAATATTCTTGGTAAAATTTCGAATCTGTTTTAAGTCGAATATAGTGTCTTCAATTAGCTTGGAATTATTTAATTGCAAATATTTTAAGTGGAAAGCTTATTTTTAGATTTTGGATCATTCTTGTTTCTAACACTGCCCTTATGCAATTTGATTAAATAATTTTCAAGTGTGTTTCTTTAATTTTATTTTTAAATGAATTGGAAGTATTATTTTTATACAGGGTGTCCCAAGAAAACGTATATATATTTTAATACCTTATTCTTTCTAATTTATTTTTCCGTTTTTAGGTACAACCCATTTAAAATAATGGCTGATTTTAGACTAGACTTTGAAAAATGTAAATATATTTTAAAGTGCTATATACTTAAAATGCCATAAGTGTGAAAACATACTGGAAGTGCAAAGATCGTTTAATTAAACAGTAAAATATATACTGTTTCTATTATCACGCAAAGTGTGTATACATTTTTTTGGGACACCCTGTATAATACTACTTGGTTATGAAGTTTAAAGTACGTAATAAAATTATATTGCTATTTATATTAATTAAAAGGTTTTGTTTAAAAGGATTTGTAGTAAAATATTTATATTTTTGTGCAATGTTGTATAAAAATATGTCGGGTATATGAGTATGTTAATATATTAGTACGATAGTATATTAGTATATTTACTTATTTATTTATTTATTTACAAATCATGGTCAATCCTTTTAGTATAAGATATAAATTAAAATTAAGAATTAAAGAATATCAAAGAATATAAAGTAGTTATATCTCACAGGATAGAAAATGTTATCATATTACCATAATAATAGAGGACTACTATATTACTATACCAGTATATCGGGTATTAATAATAAATTAAAATATTTAATAAAATATTTTACATAAAATTCTTAATTTACAATACTCAAAACAAAAATAGAAGGAACTAAATATTTATTTAAAAACGTTTTAAAGAACAACGTTTTAAATAGAGGATAAATAATACCTCAAACTATTTTAAAACATAATTTAATTGTCCTCGTGCTATCAGATATCTGTGATCCAACTACATATTAAATTTTAATTTAACAATAATTACAGATCGTATAAAGCTTGCACGTGTTTTATCTCAAAACGAAATACTCTACAGTATATAACGATAATTAATCAGCTAATTACACTTACTCAACAAATAAGCCTGCTGTACCCATAAAATTCATTTCATCCGACAGATGTTACCTCAACTGTTGCGCCAGATACAACAGTCTCCAACGACGTAACAACTACCGAGTCTGAGGCCACGAATACGACAATAAAACCAACTACCCCAGCACCAACCACTTCAAGTCCAAGAACAACGACGAGACCAGCCTCGACTTACACCTCGACTTCCACCTCGACAACCGAATCACCAAGTCGAGGAAGAGGAAGAGGTAGAGGCAGTCAAGGAAGAAAACAGAAGGAAGACTTCTTCAATCATGGACTAGGCTTCAGGGGTCGTAAGCCTTCGCCAGAAGGATCATCCAACGTATCCGACTCCAGAAGATTTAGCCCTTCTAAAAACGATTCGTACGGAAACCCGGGCTGGACCCTCAGAAGGCGGCCAGCTCATGTGAATAACTTTGAGAGAACTGAGAACACGTCGAGGACCGTCGTACCCTCGCCGAGGGATCAGACAAACGAGGTGATACCTCCGAACGAGCAATCGACCAGCACCGAGGCTTCAACGACAACCGAAAGTTCCACGTCCACCACGAGAAAGGGATTCAAGAAGCCTCAGCTGAATGTAGAGACTTCCACGGTAGCTGGAGTCACCACCAAGAGCAGCAGAAGGGGCAACAAAACCTTTGGATTCGGCAAGGGGTCCGGGGAGTATGAAGAAAGCGATAATTATCCGCCCGAGTTTAAGGCGAGGCTGAACCAGCTGGTGAGTTGTATTTCTTAATTGGATGTTACGATGGGATTAATGTAGCTGTCGGTAAGGAAGTATTGAGCAAGCTCGTGGCTTATGTTGGATACAAGGAGAATGTTATAGCAGTAATTTGTCTTTTAGAGGAGGACAATTGGATCACTGTGCAGTTGCACGAAGAGTGACGATACTTTGGATATTTGTCAGAGTTGTTTGTTCTGGGAGATTGAAAATAGTCGAGAGTGCAAGTTTTATTATTTATAACAATTACTACGGTGATTATTGGCTGTATTTATTCCAAATTTTTAATCTTTGCAATTAATAGATGACCAATACAATTAGTACAGTTATAATAGAGTTATATTTATTGATTTGTGTACAATGGTGGTAGAATTAGATTTGAGAATTTAAAAATTTTTTAATTAAATTAGAAAAGTGTTTGTCTAATTTGTTTATCTTCCGAAATCAAATAACGGATAAATTATTATTAGTAACAATATTATAATAATTATGGACTACATAATTATTGAAATTTTCAATCCATGAGTTGATACATGATTAACTACTTGTTCTAAAATGGCATTTAGAAAAGTTTAAGAACTTTATATATTATATTATTACTTATGATAAAATACTTTTCTTCAATCTCAAAGAAGAATCTTAAATCCAAAGAATGCGAAGTATCGTCACTTTTACTACAAATGTCCCACACATAAATAACTACTCGTATCATACATAATACATATATTTATTATCCCACTTTTTTAAAAGCAATTTTACATACATTTCCATACCATTACCTTTTTCTTCGAATAAATTATATTAAATTACAATTTTAATTATATCTTAATTATTTGTTATTTCTAATTATGTACAATTTTAACTGTTTCCTCTGTTTGTGACATAAATTTTGTAAACAGACTTCTTCAGCAAATTGCAATATCTCATAAGCAAGGAAAAATTAATAATATACACAACACCTGTTGAAAATTATTGTACAATACCATAAGAAATACTAAAGTATGAGATAATATAAATTTCAACAAATTTAGGAAACACTAGTGATTGTTAAAATCTATAATCTTGCTTTAAAATCCAATGTCAATTTAATTAAATTTTATAAAAATTATCAATCAGACAAGAGACACGTCAAATTTATTATACAACGTTACATAAACCAAAACAAGTAGAATACACGTTTGTACAAACATTTGTCCTTAATCCACCATACTGAAACGAGCAGCTGAAAACAAGATTAACCCTTTGCAATCGAGGAATTTTTCGTTATAGAAAAATAGTAAAAATTCGAAGACTTTCTGTCATAAAGTCGAGGATATTTTTAAAACGGTAAATAAAAAATCGTATGCAAATTGAGAAGTGGAATTATTTTACCTCGACATTCCACGCATCGTTGAGTAATTTTAGATTTGATATATTAATTAACATCCATCTTTAGAATCTGATTAAATGGCGACTGACAAGGAGAGTGCAAGTCCTCCGGGTCATAGATTTAGTTGAAACTTTGCAGGTTTGTAGATTTAGTCATCCAGTTCAAGAAAATACATCATTATAACTACTCGACAGTTTTCGAGATATTTGTGATTAGAATTTTATTATTGCCTTAACTACAGATTTATTTCGAATATTTATCAAGTGCCGTTGTGACCTAATGACAATGCCACTTGATAACTATCGATAACTACTCGAAAGAAATCTTTAGTTAAGAATAATAAACCTTCAATCATAAATATCTTAAAAACTATCCAGTCCTTATGATGGTATATTTTCTTAAAGTGGGTGACTAAATCTACAAACCTGCAAAGTTTCAACTAAATCAATGACCCGAAGGACTTGTATTCTCCTTGTGAGAGGTGCCTCTCGAGTGCAAAGGGTTCAACGTGTTATGAAACACCCGGTACACGATATACAGTGCATCAAATTGACATGTCCATAAGATGCATATAAAGATCTGTATAACTATCCTGATCGAATTGCAAGAACTGTGCAGCGTATACTAATCGCCAAGTATGATTTCAGAAGAATATCAACACGAAAATACCAGCTCCAAATACCACCTCTAGATCGCCATTGGAGGTAAGAGTCCTGAGCGCCTTTGAAATCAGCTTACAGCATCCGAAATAAAGTCTCTCTTGATCTCTAATTAATAAGGTGTAACATATGTTTCTATGCTTCTATTCTAGTTCAACAGTCTTCAGCTTTCCATTACAACAATACCTTAGTACGTAGACACCATAACCGTTGACGTTGACTGCGTTGCTGTAAAATAGACTAAAACATTCTACTCACATATAAACCACTAAACAAACTAAAAACAAAGACACGAACAATGGACTGTGACGAAATGGAACGCTGTATTATTGTATGATATATTCTCTAACACCAAACAACTTAATCAGCATGCACGTAACAAAACACACTTATACCATTTACCCATCAAAGTTCTTTGCGACAGTCCCACGATATAAATACTGGTACCATTTCTATCTTCACATAGAGGAATCAGTATGCTTTGCATTTTGAAGTCGAAACGATTCGTGTAGGAACGACGGAAGAGTATCTATGGCCGGCGCTCGAGGAACAACTCGAGGGCGTTCGAGCTTCACGACCTTGAAACCTCAGCTTCAGGGAATGTAATGACGGACGAAAATTTAGTCGTGAATCCCTTAACGTTGATAAATGGCACAGGATTGCGACGCGTAAGGGTACAGACAAATCAATGCATTTACGGGGTCGCTTCTCTTGTTTACCTTTCTTCCCATCGATGCGTTCGCAGAGCTTCCATCGCGCTTTCAGGATGAACCGGGTGCAAACCTGGCCTCGGTCATCGCAGCTAGTGGCTTTCAATCATCGTCACGACGATCATCTTCCGATAGAAGTGCTTGGCCTGTGTTTTTTTTGTCGTTTTCGCTGCCATTCGAAAAGTCCTCGTAATTTTTGTGTCCCGCTTATATGTATCAGAGCGTACACGTGTCCATTTCAGCGCGTCCGGCTGGCATTTTGGTTTATCAAGTACTGCAGTCTAGGAGAACGTTGTAGAATTACACCACGTAGATATAGTATGATTGGTCCACGCAATTATTTCTTAAACTATTGCAAACTGGAAGATTAGTCATCTTGAAGAACTTTTGAATAGGGAACATGTGACATGTCTGTTTGGAGAAGATTAACTTGGATAAATCACAAGTTCAGGTTTCCCTTTGCAACTTATGAGACAGATACCGGTGATTCTAGAAAAATTGGAATTATTTGCTTTCATCTAGGATATTCTCTATAACGATTGTATTGGGTTGTCTCAAAAATTCGTGCCGATTTCGAAGGAAGGTTGAAACGCGGGAGATTTAAATTTCAGTATACATTTATTAACCCTTTGCACTCGGTGGTGTTTTCGTTATAGGAAAATAGTAATTCGAAGACTTTCTGTCATAAAGTCGACGATATTTGTGTCACTGCGAAAATCGATTAACTCCACTTTTTGAAAAATCTTAAATATAAAATGTCATAACTATACCAAGTGCTTTGACACTTAAGTTTAAGATTTTTCAAAATGTGGAGTTAATCGATTTGTGCAGTGAACGGCTTGTTTCTAAAACGGTAAATAAGAAATTGTATGCAAATTAAGACGTGGAATTATTTTACTTCGATACTCCAGGTATCATTGGGTGATTGTAAATTTGGTTTTGGTTTGGCATTCGGTCCTTTGACGCAAATTTTTTGAAGAAAAAAAGAAAAGGAAAAGCTGATCATCGCAATAGAGTTTGCAATTCTTAGCGAAGAGAGTTAAGAAGAACGGTGTGCACTTGTATTAATATTTTACTCAATTTTTGTGTCCGGTGACTATAGTCACCCGTCGTGAGTAGATGGCGCAAAGAGTTAATTGACATCCATCTTTAGAATCTGATTAAATGGCGACTGAGAGGCGCCTCTCGAGTGCAAGGGTTAAATTATACAGATGCTGTTCTAAAACCTAGCCAACTATTTCCGCACAGTTCTTTCAGCTATAGTACCTTCGCCATAAATAGCGCACATCTTGACACTTTTGCCTTTCCGGTAAAAGAAAAGCATTAAATGCCTAAAATCTTGGTTTTCTTCCACATTCAAAGGCATATAAAACTGACAAAAGTTAACATATTATATCCAAATTTTTTTCCAAATTCGTGTCACTTGTTTTCAATCGTTTTGATACTACGATTCAGACCTGTTCATACGCTACCTACGAAAAATCGGCACGAACTTTCCGGAATACCCAATATAATATTTTCATCGGAAGAAAAGGAATAATAATTTAATTTTCATTGCCTAAATAAAATTCTGAATCCTCTGGATTAATACAAATACGAAATTCACGTCGTGGCACATGCCATGTTCGTAAATTAGAAATTAATCCTGGTCTCAAAGAATTCCAATTTCACGAGGACCACCCATATACAACCGACTTACAGATACGTCCATTTTATATTTCTTCCACTAACAATGAGTCATTCTGTATTCTTAATAGTTTCAGAAATAATTCTATTACTATAATACATAATCACACATTTGATCTAGACATACTGTATATTAGCAAACACTGTCCATCTAAAAGTCTATCTCTGTCTCTCTTCCTTTCACACTCTATTTCTCTTTCTCTCTCTCACACACACTCTCTCTTCATCTTTCCAATCTCTAAAAAAGGATAGAAAAATACGAGTTCTGTATGAATGTATACTAAAATTTCGTGTCAAAGGCAACGCTATAATAAACCTAAACAAAGATTGAACCTGGTGGCGAGGTAAAGGCTGCGAACTTCCGTTTAATCGTTTGCTTCTAACATCATTGAGGACCAATCGGGACTGGACAATGATGCGCGATTAACCAAAGCAAAAGAGGAAAAGATGGACAAGCTTTCCCCGTGGTGGTTGGTGAAATGTCGACATTGTTCCAATGAAATTGGAGAGTTATCCGATGCTTTTGAGATCCGGGGTACATCATCGTGATCAACAGCTTCGACGATATCGTCCACCTCCAAACGAGACTGGATCGAACGATATCCCTTAACACGAGGAACGACGAATCCTCGACGTGGAGTTCTCTCAAGGTCCAAACGAGCACGAAGCTTCCTTGAACTAGATCATCGGATAAGGACAGAGTTCTCCGAGTTTTTCACATGGATTTTACGTGCTTCCAACAGTACGACTTACCTCACGTACGGTAGAGTTCGCAAACTGGTTTTCGGTTTTCGTTCACTTGCTTTTGTTTTGGAATCTCGACGGAGAAAGTGAAGGTTTGTTTGACCTACCTGAACGTAACGCGTTCCGATTTATTCCCAGCAAGGCGAGCTAACCACCGTTTGCTTGCAATCGTGTCTTTTCCTATTCGACGAGGTCTATGAGTGATTGGTGCATCCGTCTTGCCCGATGCTCGGGTTTTCGAATTTTTAATTGGCCGTGGATACGTGATCAACGACTCACGAGGCGATTGAAAGTGATTATTCCGCGCGAGGAATCTTGAAGTAAAATTGCTTTCCGAGAAAATGATTTTGGAGTATTGTGTGTGTGAGACACCGTCTGTTAGATTCACGACTTTCACTTTGAAGTATTGTTACTTTTATTGTTCCTCTTTAGGCCGATATTTATCTTCTCTCGTGAGTAAGATTATGAGCTGAGTATGAGGAGATTTCAATCATTAATTTAATAAAATTTTGTTGCTGAATATTGCGTAACGATAAATATGTAAATTTGATATTAGAGTTAGGAAAATATTAGGAAATTATTGTTGTCAAAGGATTCACTAAAATTATATGAATAAATATATTATAATAATAAAAATTAATATTATCTTTTATAAATAATAGAGAAATACTAGATTAATATTGTCACGGGACTACAAATTTTATTAAAAATACAAAAATTTTGCAAATAAATATTATACAACGATAGAAATAAAAATCAGGTATTAAAATAGTTTTGTACCTGAATATTGCATAACGATAAAAGTACAAGTTTGACATTATGATTAGGAAAAAATTATAAAACTAATGTTGTCAAAAGATTCGCTAAAATTCCAGGAATAAATATCGTATAATAATAGAAATTAATATTATCCTTTATAAATAATAGATTACAAATATTATTAAAAATACTAAAATATCCTAAATTCTAAAAATATGAAAATTTTTCTAATATTTTATAAAATATAAAACGATGGAAATAAAAATTATATATTAAAATAGTAGAAAATTATGAAAGTAATATTTCCAAAAGATTTGCTAAAATTTTGAAACAAATATGTAGCAACAAAATAAAAATTATTACAATACAACAAACTATTTCATATTTCACACGAAATGATCACTTTCTTAATTGCATCATCGAGTCCTAAGTAATCACTGTCAAGGAACATTTTCTCACCATTCTTCCATTAATTTTTGACTCGAATAGTATCCAAGGTTCAAGAATAGATTTTTTGAAAACAAAGGAGACCATCGAAAGATTCGAAGGAATAGAAAGGAAACGAAAGAGAATGTAAAAGTGATTTGTGTCAAAGTCGATGAATGTTCCGTCTTGACTGTCGAAGTCTTCTATCTCTCTTTCGAATCATGAACAAATCATCAGTTTTCCGCCTTCTAATTACGTCGGAATTGATTCCTTGACCAGGATCCTTTGTTCCGAAATAAAAGTCACGCCTAAAGATGCCAGACAAAATTACCAATAATAGACCAGTCGTAATCGTTACATCGAGCAATTCTCATTTTGCCATTAATCTGCCATTATGTCAATCAGTGCAACCAGTTTCTTTTTCTTCGACTTATCCCATCGCACTTTCCCTCCATTCGATATTCGATGCAATTTTATTCAATCTCTGGAGAAACATCTATACTCAGAACAAAGGTGTCAATTTGGAAACAGTCCCGGAGATCAATCTCTAAAATTCTCATCGCACACTCGAGTCAGGGGTGTTGAATATTAATCTCACGTGCAACGAGAAATCTGTGATCCGGCTTCCTTTTGTTCCGCAATCGATAATTCACCACGAAACTAGACCGAAGTTAGAAAAAGGACACAGAACTTTCATGACTGTACGCGAAACTGAATTACGTCACATCTTCACCGCAGCTAATCGCTTGATCGACGCTTTTTAAAGGACCATCCTTGAATATCCATCCGATGGTACACGAATTCTTTTTTTCATTTTTTTTTTTTTTTTCTCACTGGAACGATAGATAACGTCACATTAGTAAAAAGCAAGCATTTGATCTATGTAGCGTGTAATTAGAAATTAGAAGTAAAGAAACAAAGCTTCAGCGGAGTGAGGTTTGCGTTCGTTTTGTACATCGACTTAGCTCGCGCGTTTGTCACCGTCTCCATGGATCGTTCACATGGTCGTGTTTCACACCACGCCATCTATCTTCCGCACAAAATCAAACACAAGTCCAGTTGCGGGTCTCTGTTAACATTGATTGAACTTTCCAGTTGTTGTCCAGTACAGTGAAATCGTGGCTCGAGCTCGTTACGAGCCAAATGGCGGCCTGGATCGTCTCGTTTCTGCGCTTCCTCAAGCTCCTATTCTTCATGTAGGAAAATAACTGGCCGCGCTTCTATGTCGTCTTCCCCCTAATAGAACTACCGTCCTCCGTTCCCCGACCTGTCGTGAGCGTATGCTTTCCGAGCGACCTTGAGAACGTCTCCTGTCGATGGAAAGCACGTCGAGACCGTGGCACACTAACAGAGTCCCCGCTCGAGCTTCCGGAGCCGGCTTTAGTCTCGACAGCGGTTTTCCACTATCCTAAAACGGAGCTGTTTGAACGACCCTTTCAGGTTAAAAAGTCGTCGGCCGCTTTGTTCGCTGAAAGATCGAGGATGAAGCTGGAACTGGCTAGGAGGTTAGTGAAGCCAGAGTTGAACATCGAGGAGAATGATCTCGACGCAACCACGGCCTCCTCTTTCAGCAAACCGAAGCCAAACGGCGTACCGATGGTCAATGAGACGAGCAAGGTAGCCAAGTACCCTAAGCCCGCCGCGACGGGGCGCAGGTCCCCCACGTCCGTAGAAAATTCGCGGGACGAGGTGAGCGCGAAAGCCTCGAAGCTAGCTGGATCGAGGAAGGGCCTCGAGGACTCTTCTAAGGTTACCGGCAGACCGTACAGTTTAAAGAAAGAACGGATCATAGCGGAGCGAATGGTCACTTCTATCTCGATCGAAAAGAAAGCCACCGTGGAAGATACCACCAGACCGTACGTATTATCCACCAACCAGCCCGTGATACGTTCCGTGGAAGATGGATCGGTGGGGACCATCGACTCCACTAGAATTCGCGTGGCAAATGGCTGTGGGGGGAAAAAGTCGAAGGAAGAGGACTCGACGTGGAAACATGCCAAGGTTTCGCTCTACTCTACCCGCTCCGTCGAAAACAGCGATCCCGTCACTACCGTCAAACCTAAGATACCCTGTTCCTATCAGTCGCACAATAGCAAATCGCAAGACCAGTCTACGACGATCGAACAGACTTCGACGACATCGGTGCCTAAGAAGTCTTACACCTCCACGCAAAGGAAGCAGCAAACTTCCCAGGAAGAGGGATTTGGAAAGAAATCAAAGTTCAGTAGCAGCGCCACCAAGCCCACCTTTAGACCCCGGTATAGCAAGCGAACCAAGCAGAAGTCCGTCGACGAGAAAACCATAGATTACCAAGTTACGGTCACGATGAAAGTACCGATGGCTACTAGCAGATATTCTAGGAAAAAATCCGCAGTGAATGCTGCCGATGAGAAGTCGAAATCGGCCACGTCACAGGGACCACCTACGCAGACCAGGAAGGCCGAGTTCAGACCTAGAACCGCGACCTATCGAAGGCACTCGGAGGTTCCGACGACGTTGGTGGAATCTTCCACCAGAGTCGACGGCGCTGGAGTCGCCATCACGCCCAGATCGTCAAAGTACCACGCCACTATGAAGACCACCACGGTATCCCCTCGATCGGTAGCGCAGGAACCACAGGTAAACCTAAGGATTGCTAACGAGTCGACGCCAGAGACACCAGGGATTACCGGCAGCAGCAATGGCGACAGCGGTAACACGAATATCTTCAATCCTACCAGAAGCACGTTCCTCAGTGGGAATAGCACACTGTTGGAGCAACTGAGGAGCACCGTCGCACCCCTGTTGAGCTCCCTTGGTAACAAGACACCTGTGTTCTCCGGAGCTTACAGCAATGTCAACACTGCGGTAAATATCAATCTTGGCTATTTACGCGAGATTTTCAGAAAGTAAGATTTTTATAATTTGAGCGGTGAAATGGCTAATATACTGTAAAATAAATTCATAAAATAATTTTTATGGCAATATCCTTTAGTTTTGGAGTCTTCGTGTTATTAGAAATAATATTATTAAAGGTTATTTTTATTATAACAGATTTTCGTTCTTAAAATTGGTTTAAGATTTTATAGTATTTACCAAGAAAAATAGAAAAATGTTTATTTAACGTATGTCTTACTATCAATATTTTTAATGAAAAGTATTTATATTTTGTCGAGTATAACTTTCTTATCTAAGATAGAGAATATAGGAGAATTATAGTAATATGTGGAAAATATTAATATTTATAAAATTATAATCATAATTTACAGAGGTCAAATAAGTGCCTGTATCTCATTTCAATTTTCTCTTGATATCGGTGATAATATTCTGATATACAATTTTCTTTTATTTCATTTTGTATTAGGTTGGTAGAAAAATAATTTCGTTTTTTCGTAATAAACATTATGTATGTAGTTATGATTTACGATTTATTTATGTTATTTAATTAGAGATGGAAAAGAAGCAAAATGAAATTATTTTTCTACCAACCTAATATTAATTTATATTAATTTCCAATTCCTTTTTCTTTGAATATATTTTCAAATCGATTCCTTTACACTTATATAACGTGTTACTATATATATAGTATATTATATACCATTCCACGAAAATTGACTTTACATCCTACATTAATTAAATATTATTCACTTTTCTCAAGAAATGCTATAAATTCTTCAAATTTGAAAGATTTCTATTATTTTAACATTTCATAATAAATATATTAAAATAATAAACAATAAATTATTCATTTACATATATATAATAATAAGTGTTGGAGTTGACTAACGAACATTTCCTCGATACTCTTTACTATATTATTTATATTAATTTAAATATGAAATAATAGTTTAAAATTCGTTATTCCAACGTCTTGTTTATTTTGCTCGTCAACTTTGACACTTAATTCTGAAGTAACCAATAATGTCATCTGTGAACAGAATTCGCCTCCCAGAATCACCCCTAATGGACAACCACCCCGCTTTAGTGCGAGATACAAAGGAGCGGAATTGTTTATCAGAAAGCAAAATAATATTTACCAGCCCACTGTGCCATCGATCACTAGTTCTTCAACTACACCAGTTACACCCGTAGAGGTAAGACTGCTAATATACAAATCATCTAAAAATGACATCGATACGATCATAAAGTACTAACAAACGGTTAATTTAGAATACCATGAATAAAAAAGAATATTCACAAAATTAGAACAATATTTTTGTTATCGTAATAATACATGTAAAAAGTAATTAATTTCTGAATATAAATAACATATAAAAATTTCCAGCATATCTAATAACTTAAGGTACGTAATTGGTAAAAATTACATTATACTAAATCATCAATAATCTTTTCGAAATCCATTTTTTACTTTACATCAAGCATCATGTTTCATTATATCGCGATGCCGATATTTTTTTCCCTTTTTTTCTTGTATTTTCGAGAAATCAATAGCTGATTTATACGAAATTTAAGAGAAATGGTAGGGAGATGTTGGACCCAAAATAAAAGATATTAATTTCTGATATATATTACTTTCTCAGATATTAAAAGAATCGTATATAATGACACGAGTTCGTGTTATTTATAATTCTCCTTTTAATTATAATTAACGCGAATTCACGTAATTTAAAATTATATTTATGATTACCAGTGACGTAATTTCGAAGAATAACTTCTTACTAGCTTAATATTTTAAAATAAACTTCATAATTTCACGCGTACGAAGCTTTCGAATTTCTTTATCTCAATCAACTTTTAATATTGGAAAAATGAAAAAGCGTTCAACAGTGACAGTATTGACTTAGAGAAAATAATTATCCCAAATTTTCATAATCGTCTTCCAACAATATTGCGACACACATTAATTAGCAAGAATAATTATCGCCAATTTTCATAATCAACTTTCAACAATATTGCCTTAGGGAAAATAATTATCGCGAATTTTCACAGATATATAATCTCGAAAATTTGTTATTAACGATTGGAAAACTAGTAAATATTCGAAACTAAAGTTTAACTCTTCGTTGTCACTTTCAAATTTCGCGCCAATCGACCGCCGGTACTTTCCGCGGGAATATCTTTCGTTTTAATCGTCGCGATAAATTAACTCGCAGTATTTAATTCGAGGGGCCGTAAAAACGTCGCGATGAGACACGAAGCATTAATTCGTAACGCGTAATTCGTTATCGATGAAAGAAAGCTTCGCGAAGAAGTGGTATGAAAACTAACGGAAGGTCGTATGTGAAAGAAATGGATCGTGAGGACTATTACCGAGGTAAGATTACGTGGCAGAAGAAAGTTGTAGCTGGTTAACAGTGAGTCAGTGTGGTCGTTTTTGTGTGCTTAAAAGGTTTTCACCACGAAGGTAGCGGAGGAGATCAGAGCAGTCGCACCACCATCGTGGATCGATCACATCGGTGTCATCACAACTCCGTCCGGAAGTCTCGATTCTAATGACATCGACACAAATAATCTGCGTTGAACTAATCACTCGAATTGTACTCCGTCAGATGTGCTACTAATAATTATTAATCATCATCTCTTCCCATTAATATTTCAGCGGATCGCCGTTCGCACAGGATACTTCTTATGTCATACTTATCAAGCTTTCTTTTTATTTTAAGTATTATTAATAATATTAGAAAAGTGTCTACTTTCTTTACGCATTTACTCCACACAGCTGATGTAATGTTATATCGTTATAGGTACGAGTGTTGCGCAATAAATATTGTGAATCATTCTCGTTTCTCTCGTTCGCAAGATATAATTCAATGTTTAAGTCGAGTGAAAGAAGAAAAGAAAAAAAAAAGGTTATAAGTAACACAAGAAAATGAAGAAAAAAGTATATAACCATTAATTTGTGATTAACGTTTAGTTTTGTGATTTATGCTAGTTGTTATCATGGGTTCGTATTTACTAATCTGTACAGGTACTCACGTTGTTACTGTCATCATTATAATGCATATACTGTGTTATACAAGATTATACATATATATATATATACATATATTTTTGGTAATAAATGTTTTGGTTCTTGGATCGCACGCGACATCCAGTTGTTCGTTCTTATTTAATCGCGTCCATAAATATATTTTTTCACATATTATAAATAATTATAAATAATTGTTAAAAATATAGAGAAACGACAAATACCATAATTGAGGAGCATCGTTTAATTTTCTCGAAAATATACAGTGACTTTTATTATTGTTCAGAGACTATAATGTTTCAAACATCGTTGTTCCGATAATCCCAGCATGATTAAATTAATATATTTTATTTTTGCTATTTTCAAGTATATATTTTATTTGTAGGTGGAAAATAGAATTTCAAAATTCTGTCAAACAGTGCAAATAGTGTCAAAATAATTTTTGAAAATATGAATTTAGGCGAGTTCAAGGATATCTACTATAATTTTGCATATAAATGGGTATTTGGATACTTTAAAACAACTGCAATGCAATGAACATTGAAAAATAAGATGATTTAAAAATTTCTAATGTATAATTGTCTTTAAATTATTCAAATAAGAGGATTGGAATAATATATCAATATAAATAATTTGGAAAGTATTATTATTTATGAATCCAATCAACTGGGTCATAATTGATAATTTATAATAATATATGACAATTTCATAATAATTTCATGAAATACAAATGTATGTTTTATGTACAAACGCTAATTGAGTATCTGAATACTTTTGCAACAAAAGAATAGTACCTTCTTTAATGTATTATTTATTATTACTTACAAATGAAGTGCATTAAACGAATAAAATGTACACCATTATTAAACAGAGTAGAAATTCTGGCATGACAAAGAGGGAAATAAATATATTAATTTAATTATAATCAAATCATCGGAGCAATACCAGCTAAAATTCCACAATATTTAAATATTAATAAGAATTTCCTCGATAATTAATCTCTTAAAGACATCTATTTATATCCTCCGACGGATATTTATGAATATTCATAAGTAGCTGTCTGTCTATCCAAGTATAAATATTCCTAAATATTTATAAATATCTATTGACACGTAATTCGAAATCTCAGGACATTAAACAGCCAGAAAACCGACGGAAAATAATCACTGTAATACTCGAATTACGAAATATTATACTGTGTTACATTAATAAATATTACACAAGTCGGATTTATTGAATTCTACGCCTTGTGTAAACTTGTGAAAACTGAATAAACCTAACGTCACTATTCTCCCGTTCTCGATGTTCTATTTGGATTGTACGTAACGAGACTTGACTTTCTAAATACGAACACATTCCGATTACATAGGTAAATTTTCGCGATCCGTATGTTTCACGGTGTTCGAGACGGTAACGAGTGAAAGTAAATGGATGCTGTGTAACGTGCATTAAAACTGTCTTAACGTGGATGGTATCTGGGACATGTGGGTGGGTCGGAGTCGTTACAGGCGAATCGAGAAGAAAACGGAAAAAGAAAATTAAAAAAAAAAAAAGAAAAGGATTCGCGATTTAAGGTCACGAATTTACTTTTCCTCGGCGCAGCCTCGACCTCAGTTTTCACTAACAAGTTCTCCGAATCCGCGTCCTAAACTAGTTTCGCGATACCTGTTGAAATCTCTGCCGTTCGACACGCAAAAATCCGCAGATATCGCGTAGTTCTCTTTACTCTGCAATTAATTCGATTTCTTCAAATGTGACGTTCTCTCTCTCGTTCGATTCGTGACGCTAGAACTACCGTAACTGTATACCTATATATACACAATTCGCACAGGTAAATGGTACGAGTAGTGTGACGAGAAAGAATTAGAAATTAAATTAAATGTATAATTAAATTTGCAATTATTCGAATAAAAATGACGATTATTTAATTTTTCATCGTTTATTTTTCACAATTTTAACGTAATAATACTTTAATGTACTTTAATATCTCGTCACTTTGATACAGTAAGTATTTAAGAAACGGTGCGATGAAAATAAACGATAAGAGGAAAAATAAAGAGTCTAGGACCAGTTATTTATACTAATTAGTTCAAGTATCGATGATCTCGGGGGATATTTCGAGTCGTTAAACGGAGTCACGCTTCAGTGTTGTTCTAACTTCGCGCTGTTAAATACATATCACTGGAGACCTCTGTGGGAGAGGATTAACAGCTGTGAGAAATCCCGATGAAAAAGAAAAAATCAAAGTGAGCGGGCAACCAGTCTCTATTGCCTGTATCAGCGATCCTTCGCTCGAGGAACGAGTTTCTAGCTCACCGTTGCTTTGCTAATACCCGTGTTTCTCGGTGCATTAAAGCAGTCTCGGTTTCTCCTCTTCCTCCGCTAGTTCGTATCTCGACCAAGAGATGGTGTATGCTCACTCAATTATGAGATCGATTATAAACGCGCCAAATCGAGCAGTAATTTTTATTTTTTCTTCAAATTCACTCTCGACTTAACGATACGAAAGAACGAACAACGTTCCCTTGTTGTACGATTCCTTGTTCCACTGTAAATACACCCATCAGTAATTGTCGATGCAACGTACGTAGTATGCAAACTGTATGTATGATAGAAAAAACAGGACACCGGTCTCGAACCGTTCAGGTATCGAGTTGAATGTACAGCACCCTGCACGCATGAAATTTCTGTTTTTAGAACTCTGGCTTGCCACCACCGATCGATGTCTCGAGTCCTGGAGAACCAAGATTTTTGACCCTTTATCAGGCATTGGAGTCAGTCAGCGTGAGGAATGAACAGTTACAGGGAAACGCGAGCATGCAGCGTGAAGAGCAAGTTGGCATGGTTCCCCAGGTAGACTCTAACGCCGCTGTCGCTAACGGCATCGGCGATAATGCTAACAATGACACCACAAGCCCCACTGTAGCGACCTCCAGCCCACAGACCCCAGACACCACCGCGAACACTATTCAGGACAGCACACAGACCCCGAGATTACCCGAGGACACGGAGAACTCCACCCCCGCGGTTACCACAGGAGCCCCTTCTGAAACCCCTTCGACGACTGAACCGGTTTTCACGAGCACAGAACCGTCCTCTAGTACCGAACAAGCCTCCACCAGCACCGAATCGCTCGCCGATAACGAGCAAGTTTCCACGAGTACAGTTTCATCCTCCACCACCGAACAGATTTCCACAAATGCCGACACGATGCCCGTGACAGAACAGACTACCACGGAGTCGCCCTCGAGGACTACAGAGGCAACCACGATGAACGTCGGAGGGGCAGTGGACTCTCGACTATCTGCACAGGTTGATAACAGCACGACGAATCAAGAACTCGTAAGTTCCACGACGGATGCTCCCATGACTACGAGTTCTGCACCTGAAGTTAGCAGTACAGAGCTGGATGAGAGCACCAGTACCACTGTTGCGAGTACCGAAGCGCAAAACACGGAAGCTCAGAGACTAGTCAGCGAGGCTAACGTTACGTCCAGGGTAGACGTTTCGGAGAATACGATAGAGACGACTACTGCTTCGATGATGGTCACCACCACGCAAGTCACCACGTCCGAAAATCCCGAGACCAATACTATACCGTTGTCTGAGACGACTGTGACTCAGACGGTAGAGGTTAGCTCTACTACCGAGACCCCGACAACCGAAGCAGAATCGAGTAATATGATCGATGTAGAGACTACCACGGCGATACCTACGTCCACGACTCGAAACAGGCTGATAGATTTCGCGCAGGATATTCTGTCCCGATTGCAAGCGTCCATGTCCACATCCACGGTGCCCACTCAAGATTCCACGACCACGATATCTCCCGCGACTGAAATATCCAACGTGATACCAGATTCGAGTAGTAATAGTAGTGTGGAGTCTTTATCGCAGTTGAGGAGTGAAACGACGACTGTTCAAGGAGAGTCGACTACTCTGTCGTCAGTCATGACGGAGCAGTCGAGTTTAAGAACGGCTGAAGAAGTAACTACCCAGAGCGCAGTAGGTTCAATCAGTACTCCGTCACCCACAATGGTACCCACTCCAGGAGCCAACACGCAGGACGAAATAAATGCATTCACAATCACGACACCAGCAACAATGACAACAGTAACAAGCACACAAGACTCTCAGACAGTTTCGAGCACAGATTCGACCACTGTAGGCGATTCGAACGGTTCTTCGACGCCCTTAGACGTTGAAGTAACCTCTGCGTCCACGACCACATCCACCAATGACACTTTACTAACAGAGTTAATGTCCATTGCTAAGACACTCTTTACGGAAGGGATAAACGATACCCAACAAGAGACGCCAGGTCAAAATTCGAACGTCACGGCTAGATTAGGGAACTTAATGGCAAACGAGATAGACCGACCGAGTTTATCGAGCGACGTACTCAGTACGACAGAAACTGCAGAGTCATCGTCTATTCCCCCAGATGTCACGACTGAAAGCGTAGAGTCATCGTCGACCACTATAGCTATGTCAGAGTCTTCTACTTTCTCGATTGATCCTTCTCAGAACGAGCTGAACTCCACAGACCCTACAACGACCGTATCTTCTGAAAGTACGACAGACACACCGACAACAACCCCTCAGAGTAACGCGGCAGACGGTGAAGTAGAAAGCGTACAGACGACCGAGTCTACGTCGGTAGGACCCCTAGCCGAGATCATAGAGTCGACAACCTCCTCGTTCATGACAGAAACCGGGTCAGAAGTCACCCTGTCGAACAGAGGTCCTGACACCACGACTCAGACACAGACAATCATCAGTACAACACAAAGCTCAGACACGACAGTCACACCTACCACGAATTTTGAACTAACTACTAACACGTCCGATTTGTCTTTGTCTAATCTTATCGCGACGACCAATCCTACAACGGCTTCCGAACCAGGCACAGAGAGTGTCACTGAGCCCGCGGGAACCAGTATACCATTAACCAGTACTACAACTGTAACCTCACAGCTTGTGACAGATACCACCACTAATCAATCCGAAGTAACCACCGTAACCCCAGAAACTACACCCTCCTCTGTAAATACAATCACGCCATCTACATCCCCAGAAACGAACACAGAGCAAACCACCATGACGCCTACCGTAGCATTGGTTCAACGTGTAAATGACGTAGATGTGGAAACTAACCCAACCACAGAGCTCACGACTCAGTTGGCATCCTTGACCACAGACACCTCTGGTAACGAAATCCTCGAAGCCACCACGCCATCAGTTGCAACCACTGCGCCGCTGGATGTTAGTTCCATGGATGACACAGGGGTCACTACTAACCAGTCCCCTCTAACATCGAGTACAATGTCCGCCATGGAAACCACTACTAATCCGCCCAGCGAAACAGCAAATTTCCCCCAAACAACCCCGACCCTCGAAAACGAAACTCCAACTGTTGTTGCCCGTTTCCAGGATTCGACATCAGCAACCGCCCAAGGGACGGCAGGTTCAGGAATCGGCCAAACGACCGAGATCAGTACCATGATCCCAGATTCTTCGACCACTCCGTCATCAACTCCAGAATCCTCTACCTCATCGCCTCCCGAGTCCTCTCTCATCAGAACCACTTCATCCTCGGTCGAGACGACGACGACGGCGACGATGACGACTGAGACGACGACGTCGACGAGTACAGGTACATCGACTCCTCAGACGACGAGAATGGACGTCGTCACGGTCACTCCGATGACAGAGACCACGACGCCAGTCGATATAGCTGAGAATCTCGTGTCTACCGAAGCTGGGACCAAGGTTTCGTCAGAAAGTACCACTGTGCCCACGAGTTCCGATCAAGCTTCCACGAACGATCCCACGAGCACCACTCCTGCGAACACTGCCATGCAAATGACCACTGTGCAAACTACACCAGGAGTGACCGTGTCTACAACCACGAGCTTTCCTACTAGACCTCTGGATCCCACGACACCCTACGTGGGTCGATTCGGTGGCAGCAGACTGACACCTGCACCACGCTTCAGCCTCAGCTCCACTACCAAAGGTCCGCTACGAGACTACCTGGTGTACGGTATCTATCCGAACAAAACGATCGTGAGAAAGCGGCCAGAGGATAACCTGATAGATGCTAGGAACGTGGACAGCCCGTACGTGATATTCGGTATCTTCCCGGACGGCAAGCTGGTCCGGAAATTCCCGAATGGAACGATAATACCGGATCCACCTAGGAGCCCCGTCGAGGTTGTGTTCTCACTTAGCACTTCCACTACCACTAACAGGCCACCACCCAGACCGTATTATAACCAGGCTAACCAAGGCACTTACAATCAGTATCAAGGCCCGGTGTACAGTAATAACGGTAGACCTGTCGCTGAACCGATGAGAAACGTCCAAAGTCCCGGCACCGTTGATCTTGGCCTTACTGGTAACGCGATCGTCGGCCCCAATGGAGGTGGACCCGATAATACGGGGCCACTTGGTACCCCTGCTAGCGTCCCGAGCACCAACGAAATGGTATCTCTTATTCCACCTGTTCATCATCATCGATCGTTAGCCGTGCGTGCGTCGGTTATGTTCGTCCGAAAAAACCATCCGCTCGGAGAAAACGAGTCGTCTGTTTCTCGTATCACGTGTCACTTTTTGCCTCTTTTCGATCAATTATTGTGCCATTGGTGCATAAAATGTGGGCGGGAGACGTTTTGCCAAAGTATCACGATGTTTCAGTATACTCGCTGGGTTATTTAACTCTGCCATCTGGAATTACTTCCCAATCAAATGTTGCTTCGTGACTAAATTTTTCGAATAAGAATTGTTTGTTAACGAAAGAACCGTGTATTTTAATAATTTTATCATTTTGATTTTTTTGAGCTATCGAGGTCATTTTGAGTTTTCTAATTATGCAAGATTTGATTTGGTAAAAGATTATTAAGGTATACGAAGTCGAGGGCCAATAATTAATAAAATATTTCTAATGAGAGTAGTATTCTTCACTTTTTTGAGTTTCAAGGTTAAGTAGTATGTATTACGGTTGAACGTTCAAACTCATTTTCATATGTTGATGAAAAATTATGATAACAGAAACTATATTATTATACTGTGTGATCCACTTGATGACAAACAATTTTTATTTAAACATTTTTTCATATAACAAACATTTGATAATTATTAATTAATTTCAGACTGCAGAGTTATCTGACTCACTGTATAATTTAGGATGTAAATACTCGTTATTTTTATTTTTACTTCTTTTGGTATCAGTAATGATGACATGACGTGATTGGACATATTTTTTAATACATAAAATAAGAAAAATTTCATTTGTATTGATTATTTCATTATTATTATTTATTATTTGCTAGGTGATTATACTTCAGTCTAATATTTCAAATTATTCTAAATTATATTATAGTATAGCATTAAATGGTATTGGAATATTTTTCAACCATGTTAAGATGGAGTATAATGTTATGGCAATTTATTAGTACAAACACAATGGTATATTTTAACTCAGCCATAATAATTTTATTAATGATTGCCAAGTAGTTCAAGTGTGCAGTTAATTTAACGTCACGTCATCAGTTGAAAGTTGATCATCATTTCAGAAAGTAAAATATTATACAGGATGTACATTAAAACTGAGATATAGTACCTTTTTGGCACTTTAATTATTGTAATGGAAAAGCATCTTGAACAAAAATTAGTCAGCATTCGGACGAAAACAAATTGCGATAATAAAGGTGGTCAAGAATCTTTTTATTAAATAATATATTAAGGTCACTTTCATTTTTTTAAGTGCACTATATAATTTTTTATCTTAAACACAACACGTTTAAAAATAATTATCTCAAAAATTAATTAAAGACAAGCAATTTTGTATAATATCGTTAAATTTGTCTTAATATCGTTTTTAATTTATTTTTAACGATGCTAATTTTTTGTCAAGTAAAAAATCTTACGAATTTGGAATTTTTATTATCACAATTTGATGAAATGTTAATTTGGAATATTTAAATGAGAAGTGTTTTTGATAATATTTTTTGGCATAAACGAAGTAAGATATTGTGGTAGGTATATTAATTCATAAAGATTTTTTTTGTTTATAAATAATTTACAATTTTAAAATTTAGAAAAATATTTACATTTCAAACTATCTTTGTAATGCTTCTTAAAATTCTTTTGTTATATATTTTAATATTCAGTGATCTCATTTTACGTTATATTTCAATTATTTATTTATTTTATTTTATTTCTTTTACTTTATCGTATAATAATTGAATTAACGAGTATTTATATTCTGCGATCAAAGTAATTCAAGTAGTACAAATTTAAATTTTATTTTGTTAATTTATTTCGTTACTCGTGTTGTTTACTTTCCCCAAGAAATGTACATATGTAGATTTTCCTAATATTCTTTGAAATTATTTCGTATTATAATTTTTATGTTCTCGATGGCACATTGTACTTGCTTCTTGTTTAACGCTTTGGTTTTGTTGAAGTAGATTCTTTGGTAGTATACTAATTTTCCAATTTCGTGTTTATTAATTATACTATAAAAATTGTATTTCTTCTTGTTCTTTTGCATCATTTTTCCAATTCGGTTTCATCGTTGAAAGAATTTATCAAATGCCTACTTCAACGTATTTTATTATCATGAGATTCTTTTACCTTGGATAAAATTGTTTAATTTTTATAGTTCGTAGTTGTATATAATTTCACTGTAAATTTGTAAATAATTCTTCTATGTGTCGCATGTTTCTTACTTCCATGCACCGCGCACTTTGAAACGCACTCAGTGTTTAGTAGAATTGAAGGTTTACTTGATAATATTTTTGACCAATTCAGTCATTTTTAATGCAAGAAATTTAGAAATGTTTATAAGAAATATAACAGAGAAATGAAAGAAAAAGAAAAGAAAATGGAAGAAAATGAGAATAGTCAGTAAAGAAATCAAATAAGTTTGGTAATGAATGGTATTCGATAAACTCTTCGGGTTAGAATTCGAGAAATATATCATTTTCATTCATCATCCATTCCCAATGATCGACAAAACATGGTCCGTGAAGAAAAGCAAAGTATTAATCGATTGTTCTTTCTTCTTTGTTCTCATAAATTTTTGAATAATGATTTTCACGTGTTTTAAAAACATATTTTGAAAAGTAACTACGTATAATTATTTCTATATAATATTTTAAATCGGGTGTCCATAAATTTTTTAAAAAGTAAACGCTTATAATAGAGCAACTAATATCATATAATAATGAACTTTTTCAGTAATGAGTTAAAAATATAATTGTTAGTGTCATAGATTTTAAAAATCTATCTTGACAAGGTGGCTACGTGTAATTGTATTAAATTAATATTTTAAAGTAGAATAATACTAAAATCGAACTATCACCGATTTTTCCAAAAAATGAAATCAATTTTCACTAAATAGAAATATTTGCAGCCCTAAAAATATAAATAATAAAACTATAATTTTCCCAGCAATAAAATAAAATGAAGGAAATATACTATCTCATATTTTAGAAACATACAACTCTCATGATACGTAATTATTTTAATTCAATATTTAAAATCACGTATATTACATACTTTAAAATATTTAAAATTAAAATTAAAATATTCCAAATTTCGCAGCCAATAAATTAAAATAAAGAAAATATACTATTGCATATTTTAAGAACATACAACTCTTTCATAATACGTAATTACATTAACTTAATATTTAAAATTAAATACTTCATATACCCTTCAATATTTAAAATCGAAATCGAACTGCTCCAAATTCTCTAGTCAATAAATTAAAATAAAGAAAATATACCATTGCATATTTTAGAGACATACAACTTTCATAATACGTAATTACATTAACTCGATATTTTAAATTAAATACTATATATACTTTACAATATTTAAAATTAAAATCAAAATACTCCAAATTCTTCAGCCAAGGAATTAAAATATGAAACTACATTATTGCATACCTTAGAGACACTCATTTCTCATAATACGTAATTATACTAATTCAATACTTAAAATTACATATTTTACACACTTTACAATATTTAGAATAAAAATCCACCTATTAAATAAACTACGAAATAAAATACCACGATCATCAATGAAAATTTCACAAATTATAATCTTCCAAAACTTGGTAATACTGTAGAACAATCGATCAAACTTAGAGACATATAATTCTCATAATATGTAATTATACGTATTCAATACTTAACATTACATACTTTACATACTTTACAGTATTAAAAATTATAATCCATCCGTCAAACAAACTACGAAATAAAATACCACGATCATCAATGAAAATTTCACAAATTATAATCTTCCAAAACTTGGTAATACTGTAGAACAATCGATCAAACTTAGAGACATATAATTCTCATAATATGTAATTATACGTATTCAATACTTAACATTACATACTTTACATACTTTACAGTATTAAAAATTATAATCCATCCGTCAAACAAACTACGAAATAAAATACCACGATCATCAATGAAAATTTCACAAATTATAATCTTCCAAAACTTGGTAATACTGTAGAACAATCGATCAAACTTTCGCTGTTGATCTCACACATCGTCCTCGAGATGTAACGTCGTCTCGGAAGGTTTAAAAAACCCGTACGATTTCGCATTGTTTAGAGCAATGCCCTGCTGAATACGCAAATGGGGACAACGTCGGTGACGCCGATAGTAAGTACCGGTCGACCGCCGACCGATTCGCAGGGCGGTCGTATCGTCCAAGATCGAGAGAGGGACGAGGCCACCAGGACGAAAGAGGCCGGAGGTCAACGCAGCTCCGTGTACATCGGACAGGTAAGAAAGCAAGAGAGACAGAACATGATTTACAACGACGCCGCGGCTGATTCTTTCAGCGCTGCAACATATCTCTGCAACGGAAAAAAAGAGCAACGTCGAATGTTTCAGGACAAGTTCGTCAATTATTGGACCGATGGGGCTTCCACCTCTAACCCACGCGTTCTCAGTGTGAATATAAACTCAGTAGCTGTAAGTTAAACGAATACAAGAGACCAAAGGGTTCTTTCTTCCTATTCCTTGCCTCGGTGTACATGTTTTATGCTTAGCTAGAAATTTTTCTTTTAACGGGGCAAGCATCGAAATTTTCTGTAAACGTGTCTTCTTGTAATTTCGAATTTTTCATTTTCTACTTGTATAATAATTTGAAATGTTTAATTTAATATTTGTGATTTAAAACATTCGAGTTAAAATTTTCTTATCATATCGGAAAGTTCGAGCCGATTTTGAGGGAAAATTGAAACGCGAGAGATTTAAATTTTAGTATTATGTAGGTGCCATTTTGTTTTAATATTCGTAACTTGTAATATGCAGTCTATTTTGGAACTTACAATTTCAAATTTTCAGCTTCGAAAATTTTCAGAATTTATTATTTGAAATTTGTGATTTATTACGATTGAAATATTTGAATTAAAAATTGCATAATTTATTAATTTACTCGTAACGATCAATTTTGAATGTCACAATTGACCAGTGAATTTAATAATTTGATCCAAGTATGAAATCTAATTACAAATTGGTATTTCGTCAAGATTTTATTCCACTCGAGAGATAAGTTTATGATTCGTGAAACAATTTTCAATTTTCAAAGTATATGTTAACACCCTTACTCCGTTCAGAGTGCTGCAAATGATGGACCATCAACGTCCATACCATCGTTTGAAAATCTACTGAATAATCAGCCACGAGGTCAAGTCACAGCTCCGCCTGGGTTCCCATGGAGAGATCCTTTAGACCAAATCTTTGGTATTACTACCTCCTCGCCAGTAATCTCAGCGTCAGTGGCATCAAACACTTTGGTTCGTCTCGTTTAATCGTTATACTTCAAAATAAATCTAAAAGAAATAAATTAAGAAACCTTCCTTATCGAATTGAAATATTTTCTTTGTATAGTAATCATATATTTATCGTTTCACTTCGTATATAGAAAGAAAATTTTCTTCATACCTTTTACAGTATCTCCACAATCTTATTTTGATAATACATTTTGTTTAAAACATTGAAATTTCAAACTCGTACATAAACTAATTTCTAAAAATAATTAAAGTATCTGCATACACGTGACAAGAGAAGAGTGTACTTATTATAATTTTCGAATGAAATAAGAATTATATTTCTCTCTTTTTGATCATTACAAATTATAATAATTGCGTTAGAGTTCTAGTTCACAGCCAATAACATTTCATACTACGGTTTATTGATTTAACCACTTGCGTTGGAAGGACGTGTCACGCACGTCGTAATGCTTTTGTCACAGAATCGCCAACGACGTGGTATACACGTCGTTTGGCAATTGTTACAGAAACTCTGGACCGTTCTGGCACACGCGTCTGTGAATTTCTTGCCACTGCAAGTGCTTAAAAAATGAAAATGATTTTATTTTCCAGGACGATTCATCCGAACCAAACGGTCCAGTGTTGGCACGCCCGATCAATCCATTTGTCGAGGTTTTCACACCATTTTCCAGCGTGATTGGTGTTCCAAGAGGCAACGTTGGGACCGTTCCTCCACCGCCATCATCAACAACTCCTGCGTCCACAACTACCAACAATACTCCTGCACCTACTACTACCATTACAACCGGACCAACGACAACAACCACAACCACAATGGCACCAACTACGATCACAACCATAACCACGATGGCACCGACTACAACGACCACAACCACAATGGCACCAACGACAACAACTACAACTACCGTTACAACCACAATGGCCCCAACGACTACTACAATGACAGCACCTACTACCACTACACAGGCTACAACTGCTCAAAGAGCGAATATTGTATCCCAAGTAGGAGCTGATTCCGGAACATCTGCGTCTCAGAAAAATTCGTTTAATTTACCAAAGAATTTGTTGCACCCGCAACAGCAAAATGCTTTTGGTACTACGTTTGATGACTTGGCTTTTTTAAATTCATTAGTAAGTGAATTATTTGTGATCAATGTATTCTGTAACCATGCTTTATTCTTGAATTTTATTATTATTATTATTATTTTATTTTAAATAATAATTTTATTTCATTATTTCTTATATTTTCTTTTATTTGTATATATGTTTTTATATACTTGAATATTATTATGGATTTTATTTGATTATTTCTTATATTTTTATTTTATTATTATTATTATTATTACTTTGTTTTACATAATAATTTTATTTTATTATTTCTTATATTTTCTTTTATTTGCATATATGTTTTTATATATTTCTTTAAAGAAACGTGTTTTATTCTTGAACTTCATAGTTTGATCACTGATATATGTATTAATTATTAGGAAATTGTAGATGAATTTTTATCAAGCGTATTTAATTAGCATAATTATATATATTTCGTTGAAATATTATTGTTATGGCGTAGTGCTGAGTTTTATTAAAATGGATATCTTTTTTCATTCAGTTGCAGAGTAATTCGAGGAGTACCACTCCGAAGACACTCACGCACGTTGAACAACTTTTGGCAAATAAGGTAAGTTTCTGCTGCCATTTATCACTTTTTACATGTGGAAATTTAACAAATCTTTTTCTCTTACATTTCCTGTTATATGTCCACTAGATATAATTCCTGTTCCATAACCAAGAAAGTATTAAACTAGTTATATCAAACACCTGTAAGTTTAAAAAATATATTAATTTCAATATTGTGGAGTGACACTCAATTCTGTAAATTCTTCTGACATGAAAGTGCCTTCGCAATCGTCACAGATATACGTATTATATAGGTTGGAGCAGATAAAGTATCTCAAGTTATTGCAGATATTATCTTGAAATTTGCAGCTGTTGAATGATATAAGAGGCTCACATTTTACATTATAAGGTACCGTCAAAATAAGTTCGTTAAAATTCTTTTTCTTTTCTTTTCGTAGACTGGGATATTAATTTTTCGATATTCTAAAAGATATTATCAAACCTAACAACTTTTCCTTAAGGCATGCTTTCATGGGCGTCAAAAAACATTGAAAGAAATACATTTCTTTGAAAAATTATTACGTATATAATAACATTTTTATCTCAATAAAATTAAAAATATCTTCACGTCCTGGATAATTTCAAAAAGAAAACCTCTGAGTTTTATTTTACCAATACCACAATTTTGACTTTCGGTTTTTGCACTCGATGCAGCAAAGAACGGACAATTTTCTAAGACAATAAGAAATTCGAGTTTTTGAAGGTTACGTACTGGGCTGCCCCTTAACACATTAAACGCCACACTGATCCCTAGGGACTTTCCGCCCAAGCCTCGTCAGTCCGTAGGGATTTTCCGTTGAGGCTTCGCCAGTCACTAGGGACTTTCCGTTCAGGTCTCTCCAGTCCTTACGACCCGGAATATGTAATGTTCCATCTAATCGCTGTTCCTTATCGCTGGATGATGGTCGTCCTGTTTTTGTCGTTACACGCAAATCCCCAACAAGTCTAAGCAAAAGTTCTTCTCTAATTTTTTTATGGGAAATCTTCTGATCGCTCAAATTAACAGTGGATACTTTGTACAAAATAAAAACATTAACAATAGACGCTTCCAATCCCTAGAAAAGGAGTTTTCTCTTATCTTAAACGCTGTGTCGAGTGACGCTCGACATAGAACCGTAAAGGGTTAACGTCGCACAACTCGGCGCTCAAAGGGCTGGACTGATAAATTTCTAAAGTCTCGAGAGTATTTTCCAAAAATCTATGTCACTCTTCCACTTTCTGTCTCGAAAAGGATTAACTCGGTCAATTGCATTGATCCGATCTTTCTATCTGCTAATAGCGTCATCTTCGGAGGAAGGCATAAACGTATTTATTGCTATTACGTTAATGTCACCCATCTGGGCGTATTAAACTCTATCGACAGGCCACGTTATCGCGGGATGACATGTCTGACAACTGTTGCGCGGGATAGAGAAGGCCGCTGGCAAGGCTGTCCCAGTCCATTCACCGTGACTGGCCGATCACACGGCTGCGATCGTCGTATAGATCCGTCATTATATCTTCCCAAGAAGGGCGTGACTAAGGATAATCAGCCATCTACCGAATTTTTCCTCTCCTGTTTATACAGCAGCCGTTGCGACTCTGTTTATGCAACGCGAAAGGAGTCCGGTCTAGAACGGGGTTCCTTGACATGGCCATGTGGCCCGCTAGGGGGCCTGGCACCGAATTTTTTGGGGCCAGCGAAAGTGTTCGTGCTAACGAGATGGACCTAACCTGACCTTAATCCAGATGGATAGATACTTTTGAAATCGTTAAATAGTAATTTAACAATTATTAAAGTGAATTGGAAGCTTTGGTACTTTGTTTCTCGATAATGGACATGGGTGTCATTCCTATGGAGAATTTGGAAATTCCTAGGTAAAATGGCGTCAAACTCTGTCATAAATATACAATGCAAGAATATCTTATTGTAAGTTGTCCTGGATTACGTGAAAAAATTTGAAATAAATTAACAATATTAGTATCTACGTAGAGTATAGCTATATTATGATATATATACATGTATACATATCACAACATGTTACACATATATGTTATGAACCAAGTGAGTAATGGGATATTATGAATAATGTAGACGTGATGAATTAGGATAAATTATATCAGATTTATGAAATCGCCCGACCATTATGCATAATGTCTATATTAATCACTTGGTTCATAACGTATGTAATATAGGGATGTAATAGAAATTGTATAATAATTAAGGAAATACAGGATGTTCCATCTAAGCAAGGTCACCCAAGCGTTTCCTCAAATAGTAGGGGTACAAAGAAAATTATGTACGTATTTAGAACGATTTACAGAAACCATTACGTTGTAGAAAATATTTTTTTACAAGGTTATTTATTTTTGAGTCCTCAAGATCATTAATATCTTCCTTTTTATTGCTTTATATAACTGATGCCAAAATACTAATTATACTAATTATGTGTGTACGTGACATAACCTCGGTATGTACTTTAACTTCAAAAATTAAAATGAAACGAGGAATTTTGGTGTTTCGAGATTGCTGATTTTGGAGATGAAGATGATGTATGGAAATTTGTTAGTTTCGTTTTTACAATGTACTGGAGTATCAACAGTGGTTATTGTACTCCAGGTTGTGAACCAAAAAACATTGGGCAACCTTGGTTTAGGTGAAGTTTGGTCTAGGTAAACTCTGATTTAGGTGGAGCCTGGTGTAGGTAAATCCTGGTCTAGGTGGAACCTGGTCTAAGTAAGCCCTGGTTTAGGTTAATCCTGGTCTATGTAAAACCTGGTCTAGATAAACCCTAGTCTAGGTAAATCTTGGTGTAGGTAAACTCTGTTCTAGGTAAACCCTAGTCTAGGTAAATCTTGGTGTAGGTAAACCCTAGTCATGGTGAATCTTGGTCTAGGTAAACCCTAGTCTAGGTAAATCTTGGTCTAGTTAAATCTTGGTTTAGGTAAACTCTGGTCTAGGTAAACCCTAGTCTAGGTAAATCTTGATGTAGGTAAACCCTAGTCTAGGTAAACCCTGGTCTAGATAAACCCTAGTTTAGGTAAATCTTGGTGTAGGTAAACTCTGGTTTGGGTAAACCCTGGTCTAGCTAAACCCTGGTCCAGATAAATCCTGGCCTAGATAAACCCTGGTCTAGATAAACCCTGGTCTAGATAAACCCTGGTTTAGATAAACCCTGGTCTAGATAAACCCTCGTCTAGGTAAACCCTGGTTTAGATGGGGAAAAAAGGAGAGACACAATTTCCACAGCTAGAGTCCCATTAGAAACGAAATAGGGATCATTGTACGGTTGTGCAAAGTGAAGTGAGTGAAAGGATAGTTTAACGTCCACCTCGCGAGTCGTTTCTTGCTTCTCTCCTCGCAGATCGGAGGATAATTGCGTCCAACCTTCGACGAACATCGCGTTATTGGTGGAATATGAGACTCGCTTTCCGAATTCCTTTTACTTCGTGTTTTTAGGGAGACGTGGCGTGATATGTTGCACAGTCAGCCATCCTACAACGTGATCATGATCCCGTGTTATATCGAAACCGTATTAAAATAAGCTTCTTTATTTCAAGAGGAAATTTTTATTTCACCCTCAGGCGAAATAAATTTTCGAATTATTTTTTCGTCGTTTTATTAAACTGCATAGAAATCCACAAACAATCAGACTGAAAATTATTTTCAATCAGACATTTCAATTTTGTAACAATTTCATCTTCAAACAAAAAATTTTCTTTTTAATCATTTTGTAAGACATTATAGATATTTCAGAAGTAACGGACTAAAAATTGTTTTTAAATAATTTTATTTTTCTCCACTACAATGAAAATCAATTATAAAATAATATTATAAAATAATTATAAAGTACAATTCAATAATAATGTTTTATCTATATTGAGATCTATATTACAATTTGATCATCTTGGTATATTTTCTTTTCTTAATTCTAATAAATAACTAAATATATTATATACAAATGACAATAACTTCAATGATATAACGCAGACAACTAACTATATATAATTATGTTTCTATTTATGTACACGAAAGTCAGCATTATTTTTATCATATTCCAGATATAAAAATAATTTGATAATCCCAGTGTTAATATTCTTCTTGCTGTAACTTGATCATATCTTTGTAATTTATTTACACATTTCCAATATAACTGTGAGAAAAATTCATTTGAAATTAATTGCAAATGATAAATCATTATTGACAGTACCTCGACAACGAACCCAGTAACGAATATTATTAAAAAGAGCAGTGACAAACACCTAAAGTGGACAGACACCTGAACACTTACGCAAACAATACCATACTCACTCTCAAAACAACTCAATTCAAGTCAAATCAACTCAATTAACACTAAAACTACCGATCTTTAATGTGTACCTAATTATAATGTGCACAGATTATAGTAAATTCAGTGGTACGATGAATATGAGTGAATATATTGATTACAGTTCTTTCTTAATACGAAATGATCTTTAATGTGTACCTAATTATAACGTGCACAGATTAGAGTAAATTCAGTGGTACGATGAATATGAGTGAATATATTGATTACAGTTCTTTCTTAATACGAATTGATACCAATTTTATTCTTAAAGCAGGTGTATGTGTTCGGTGATTGCGAAAAGGAAAATTTTGGGACCAATCATTTTCACTGGGTTGGTAGTTCTAGTGTTAAGAAGTCTCCTACTTCTTTACTAACTTTTATTTATGTAAACTACTAAATTTAATTAAACGTTACTAAATTTACTTTAATTACTATATCCCTTTTAATGCCGGACGACGATATATCGTTGCGTATGCAATGGCGCCTTATTCTTCGCATTGCGGGAAAGCTCTATTTCAAAATAAATTTATAAAACGTTGTAAACGATCTAATTTCATTGCAAAAGAATTTAAAAAGTTCTTTTCGGGTTTAATTTTTTGTTATACTCTATGCTGGTTGGTACCATGGAGTTATCCTTTCGTTCTCAGGACTGATATTGGTTATTTTATTAAAATTGATCGAAAATGTAATACTTATACTTTGTAGTACGCGACCTACATAAAACTGTGATCAAACGATGATTATTCTTATGCGCAAATATTATTTCTAGAAGAGAAACTTGTTTCTATATTTTTCATCGTGTCTTATATTAATGTTATTCGTACGATTTTTAACGAATATTGAAACACATTTGGCATTTGGTTATTCTCCCTTTCTTCAGTAATATGCTGCATTTTGAATTTTTTAAGTATCATTCTTGGTTTGGTTTTTATTAGTAAATTCGTCCGGTTATCTTCACATATGCACTAAAAGGGTTAAGATGATTGTAAAAAGGAAAATTCTGGGACCAGTCATTTTGGCTGGATTGGTAGTTCTAGTGTTAAGTTGAAATCGAAACAAGTCAATAGATAGCATTCCTTCGAATAATTTTCTCCTATATTTAATTTCCAGATCCTGGCACTAGCGTTGAAGAATGCAGGACCAACTCGAGCTCCAAAGGCTATCGACATCAACAGCGTTTCGTCAAATTCGATATTCGGGTCGGCAACAAAGTCTCCATCAGAGCCAATAGTGATCGACTTGAGTCCATCGTCGACAGTCTCATCGGTAACGTGGGCCTCATTGGACACACAGCAGCCGACTAGTCAAAGACCGATCGTTAACTCGACACCTGAACGAGTAACCTGGAAACCAGTAAGGTCCACCACGACCAAGAAAGATATCGAGATAAACACGATTTTCCCGTCGACTGCGATTAAATCATCTCTGATAAGCACCACCAAAGCTCCTGTAACCGTGAAGGCTAAACCAGCGACCACTCCACGTGTAACAACCACGAGTCCAGCGCCGTTTGGCTTCGCTGGATTACTCTGGCAGACTCTTCTTGGTGGAAGTATGTTCGGACCGTTGACCACTCCTAAGCCTGTGAAAGCTAAACTGATAAAGACCACACAGAAATCGGTGAATATTACGCCGAAACCGATCCAAAGCACGCAGAAACCGACCCAAAGCACGCAGAAACCGACAACAACGACGGTTCCTTCGACCACGACTATGAAAACTGTGGACATCTCAAAGATTCACGTGAATACTCTGAATTCGATTGTAAAGGACACGGTGTCCTCGACTAAGCTGCCTTTATTGAATAATCCGAACACAAGGTTGCCTAATATGGTGTCCACGTATACGTCCACGTATTCTCCTGAAGAGGATGCGAAATTCTTGGTTGAGCTGCTGCGTGCTGTTGAACAGGGTCAGTTCAGTGTGGAATATAATTTTGTCGTCGAAATTTTACTTAAGATTTTGGTCAAATTTGATGGAATTTATTTGGTTAAAATTTTAGTTAGATTTTAATTCAAATTTCAAAATTATTTAGCTAATGTTTTACTGATATTTTGATTATCGTTTTAGTTATATTTTAATTAGAATTAATAGTATTTGTTTCAAAATTTTAGTTACATTTTAATTCAAATTTTTAAATTATGTAGCTAATATTTTACTGATATTTTGATTATCGTTTTAGCAATGTTTTAATTAGGATTAATTGTATTTGTCGCAAAATTTTAGTCTTGCTTTAATTAAAATTTTAATTATATTTTGGTAAAATTTTATTGGTATAATTTATACTATTATTTAGTTCATCACTGCTTAGTTTCTGCTCTTTTGTAATTTATTAAAATAATTTCTTGTGTCTTACATTGAACATTAATTAGGATTAGTAGTACTTGCTCCAAAATTTTAGTTACATTTTAATTCAAACTTTTAAATTATTTAGCTAATATTGTATTGATATTTTGATTACTGCTTTAGCAAAGTTTTAATTAGGATTAATTGTATTTGTCGCAAAATTTTAGTTGTTTTAATTAAAATTTTAATTATATTTTGGTAAAATTTTATTGGTATAATTTATACTATTATTTAGTTTCTGCTCTTTTGTAATTTATTAAAATAATTTCTTGTATCCTACATTGAACGTTGTATTACATTTGTTGTAGATAACAAAGTTAGTGACTCGAGAAAAGCACCAGGATTATATCAGGACGACGAATCCTTCTTAAAAGCGATTTTAAGCGGACGAGCTTACACAACAACAACAACTCCACCACCAACAACGGAAATCAGTAATGCTGCTTTGTTAGCGGCACTGCTGAAGGCTCGAGGGATAGAACCATCAACGCCACCCACTAATATCAGACAGCAGTTGCTGTCAGCGGTGAGTCTTTTCAGTAAAATACCTTTTATACCTTGAAATATTACAAAAGACTGAATTTCCATTTAATAAAAGAAAAAGTCATTATATCTTAGAGTAGGATTGGATTTAATATAAAAGTATGTTATGTCTAAATTTTAAATCCTGATTAAATTAAAGGGAAATGAAATTGAATTTACAAAATATATATATAAATATTAGGCTTCCACTATCATTTATTTATATAAAATTTATGCAAATTTGATGTCCCAAATTCTTTCACATTTTCTCGTATTTCACATAGGGTCAAGTATTCAATGTCTGACCTCTTACCCTTATTTCCTTCATATCTTCAAAATTTTTAATTTGTAAAAGTTTGGTGAATGTATGAAATATTTGAGGGCCTTGAATTTGTATAAATATTATACAACATATAGTACATATAATATAATCATTATACCATATTATTGTATATTGCAATAATACAACATACAATACTATATACTACAATACTATTACAATATAATACAACATATATATAATACATAAACATAAACATGTATATAATACAAACGTATAGTATATGTAATACAAAAATATAATATACATAAATAGATACTTGTAGTGTATTCTTATTTATTTATATAAGATTTATACAAATTGGAAGTCCTCAAATCTTTCATACATTCATTTAGCCTCAAAAACTCATTTCCAATTTTCCTAGAGCTTTTTCAAGAATTAACATATACACTAGTTAGCAGTAAAATGATTAATAAAAAATTCCAACCATATTTCATGATCATTTTTCGAATTTCCATAAAATATTTATTTACCTGATATTAAAATCTAACGAATGAGGATATAAATTTAAATTTTTCAATGTGTATTTTCGCGAATACGTGACACTGAGCCGTAGCTATGCTACCACTTTCAGGTCAGGTTTCCTTCATTTATATAGAGAAAACATAAAACTCAATTACCGTCACACGCGTGTGACGCTGAACTCTCAATGGGAATCGGTGCGTCACAGACATAAGCCATTCACAGGCCAAAGCGATCAATTCTACTTTGTAAATTCTCTACAATTCTAATCCCGGAACATTTAATCATTGCCTAACTTCTAGCATTCGAAATAAATTTCTACCTTCGACTAACGACAAGACGTACGCCAAACATACTATATTTATGCTAAAATTAAAAGTTCTAATTTCACTTTACTCACTAATTGTAAGCCAACAAATATTTCTCGTTTATAAATTATCGTAGTATAACATAATCACGTAGTAAATAATAAGCATGTTCACCATTTGAATCCCAATAGTAGTAATAATAATAATAATAGTAATAATAACATAATCGTAAAATAATCTAAAATAATAATAAAAATTAGGTTTGGCAAATGAAGGGCTCGTTTTTCGCTTATACGTCCCTGATACTTTTTTACCCAAAATAGGAAGAAGGATCGAAGCATGTAATAAAAGCTATAAGTATACATTTAATAAAATGTTACCTCCACACGACCACTACGCTTCCATCTATGTAACAATTCGCATGACTTCTGTTCAGTCCCAGAAAGCGTGTTTAAAACATGATTTTTATTTTAATACTTGTACTTGCTACTTAATACTCGTACTATGCCGGAGGATAGGCGTGCCTCACCGCCGTTCTAGCGGATTAAGTTATAAATGTAAAAGCGAAAGCTTAGGAATTTTTACAATCACTAGATTCGACAGATAGGACCCACGTGTGATGGACCCACCCAAGTGACGAACGGACTACTTATAATCGCGTCACTGACCATCGAAAATCGACTCCTTGACAGTTTCCTACTCCTCAGCCAAGATCCTTCCGTCATATCCTCTGTCCAATCAAAAATCTTTACTTTTCCGCCACTAATATTTATCCTAACCAGTCAGAACCAAACTGGAGAAAACACCAAACGTCTCTACTATAACCATTCTATACTTTTACTATAAATAAACACTCTATTTTAACATCACACTCGGGATCCTTAACACATTGAGCGCCGGCGGCATATGAGACATTTAAAGCCTGAGCGCCGGCCTCATTCGCTTGTTTCCGAACAATGAGTAGCTAAAGGAAATATTTAAAACTTATACATTTTCTTAAAATACTATATTTCGATTGCATATTCGTCATTCTGTGGACATTTCGCTATTACTAGAATCATCGGAATCACTAGAATATTGTAATGGAACAGCTCTTGATATTCTCCTTGGACCCAAATCGCTATCACTGTCCTCGACTTGTATGTCAGAATCTTCCGAATGTATCGAATAATATGATAGAGGGTCGGCAATATACTCGTTAAAAACTTCGCTCATATTATATGGATAAGAAGTTACAGAATAATAAGACTTATCATGTTGTTCAACGAAAAGCGTAAACCTACGAAAGAGGTACTAACTAAGGAGAACACTGCTTGAGAGTGATTTTTGCTTTGATCGTTTCTGAACCATCGTATACGTTTTATTTTCGGAGTATAACAAACGCAGATTGTCGTAAACGTGACGGGTGAATGCAAATCGATGTGTAAGACATCCATACAAGCAAAAAAAATCCTCATCATCGTGAGGGCGAGAGTCAAGTGACAAACTTAGAAATCCGCATTATCGCGGGACCGGCGCTCAGTGTGTTAATATTACAAAACCAATCACGCAATATTAATTTGGCGCTAGGAAATCGAAGAAATTCGATACGTAGGACGCTACAATTTCGTAGGCCTTTGAAGACCATGCATCTACTTCCATTAACACCTTTTCCAGCTTCAACCAAAATAGAAATATCGCTTGTTACGGTCCTGCGAATCACCCTGTATGACACCGAGACCCAATACTCCGTTTCATTATTCTCTTCCAAATTTTCCAAATTAAGAAACAATCATTTTGCCAATCCATCCAATTTAACCCATTGACATACAATGACGTCTGGAAGACGTTATCCGTTTCACGTGTCATTGTAGGCTTTGACGTCTCCGAGACGTCAAAAATTATCTCCGGCGGACAGTATATCGTGCAATATATTATTAACACTTTGACTGTCACGTTGGTCATATATGACCGACCATAGTTTCCCCTGTGAGGTCACGGTGGTCATTGGTGACCATGCTTATATGCTTTGTAAGGGGTTTACAAAGTGAGGGCTACGTCACAGGTCTAATTCTCGGTGATCTATTCGATATTCTTCTCTTCGCTATGAGGTACGCACGCTTTAAGAATGTAAATTGTCTAAGAACCCTTTCCTATGTTTCTCGACCTACCCTTCTAACCGTTTTCCCAAGCAGCGCGATCGCGCTGTTCGGATTTCATGTCAAGAAGATCCAGCACATTTCGAGCGTTCTCGACAGCTGACGGTGCGTCACCGACTGTTCACGTCCGAAACGCTATTGCGCCACTTGGCCATTCATCGCCATAATATAAACGAAGCGCTATCGCGCCGCTTGGGATTTCTCGACGTAAAATAGAAGAAGCGCTATCGCGCTACTTAGGTCATCCGGTACCCACTTAGAGGCAGCGCGGGGATTCCTCGACAGTGTTCTTTCAAAACCCTCTGGGACTCAAACGGTTAACCCATTTGCATCATGGCTCTACTTAAGGTGCCGTGTTCAGGCATCAGCGACGTTCAACTGACGACTAGCCCGTATCAGCACCTACTCATAATGACAGTTAAAAGGATTTTCGCGACAAAAGTAAAACTTGTTAAAAATATAATGAACCGATGTAGATGAGATGCTCACAAAAGGGATCAAACGTGTTCTGCGGCATATGAAGAATATTCAGCAACTGGTAATAGAAAAAGTCAGCTTGCGGATTATTCCGCGCTCGGTGATAAGCGACTGTCATAACTCGCGGAATATTCGGCGTTTGGATGTAAATGGGTTAAGGATGGGCCTCCTTTGTTCATTGATCGCGGATCAAGCGGATCGCCGCTTCGATTCGAGACTCCGTTTATCATTGCTACGTGCTTCTCACTCACGCCGCCTTATTGGTAACGATAGAGGTCGCCTAATCTTATATATTTTCACAGCTTTGAATAATAAAAATACTCCCATGACGTCCTGATCGAAACACGTGATTTCGGTGTGGCAGTCAAAGCGTTAAATAGTATTTTTCGTCTGCACCAAATTCCATTTTATTTGTATGTCAAGGGGTTAATATTCCAAAAAATGAAGAAAATCGTGAAAATAAAATGAAATTTGGAGCACCCAATCCCCGAATAGGCTCCCGACTATGAATCTAGACAAAGCATCGGCAACGTGGACTGCGAAGGGTTAAGTGACGAGACTTAGGAAACAATTTAATATAATCCTTACAAATTGGCCGAGTTGGACGAGACCCCGGCGATATTGAACGGCGTGGCGAGGCAACAAAGAGCGTGGCGCGATGAAAGAAAATAATTGCTCGTCTTGTAATAGAGCCTCGGGCAGAGCGTCACCTCTGCTCCGGCCAGCGAGGCTACGATAATTACGACAAGGCCTGTACCGACTGCGAGCCGAACTACGAATAGGGCGAAGAAGACGGTGACACCGAGACCAACCTCGGGACCAAGGATACGCAGCACGACGTGGTCGCCGAGCTCGACTTATCCGCCACCTCTGTTCAGCTCCTTCTCCAGTTACGATTCCTCGGCGCAGTCAGCCAGTGGCGATAATTCTGGAAATAGCGCGCTGTTCGGTGCTACTAGAGCGTTCAGTCAGTTTCTCGGAGCCGCGATAAGCGTAAGTTATTTTCTTATTAATGATCTATGTTAATTCCTTCGTTTCGAGGCTTCACGGTAGCTTGAGATGGGCGATGGAGGAAGTAGGAGGAAGGAACGGAGTGGTCGAGTGGATGTATTGTATGGAAGTGGATCATGGTGATGGTTGACGAGACAGTGGCATAGCTGGGGATTTTGTTGCATGGAGAGGAGTCTTGATTTGATTATGCTTGCGATGAGCGGGTGGGGGGGGGAGGGTGTATTGCGAGGATTGAATAAAGGTCTTTTGTTGGAAAGGAAATTCGCGATGATTGATGTGGGGTTGATTGGTAATGATGGTTAGGTTGATATGGTTGGTAACAGTCGGTTATTGGGCATTGAGAGGTTGCGTGGGTGAGGATGTTGGGTGAATTTGGACGTCGGTGTCTAGGGAATTCGGATATCAGTAGCTAGAAGATTTGGACCTCAGTAACAAGTTAATTCAGACGTCGGTGTCTAGGGAATTCGGATGCCAATATTTCAAGAATTCGGATATCAGTAGCTAGAAGATTTAGACCTCAGTAGCAAGTGAATTCAGACGTCGGTGTCTAGGGAATTCGGATGCCAATATTTCAAGAATTCGGATATCAGTAGCTAGAAGATTTAGACCTCAGTAGCAAGTGAATTCAGACGTCGGTGTCTAGGGAATTCGGATGCCAATATTTCAAGAATTCGGATATCAGTAGCTAGAAGATTTAGACCTCAGTAGCAAGTGAATTCAGACGTCGGTGTCTAGGGAATTCGGATGCCAATATTTCAAGAATTCGGATATCAGTAGCTAGAAGATTTAGACCTCAGTAGCAAGTGAATTCAGACGTCGGTGTCTAGGGAATTCGGATGCCAATATTTCAAGAATTCGGATATCAGTAGCTAGAAGATTTAGACCTCAGTAGCAAGTGAATTCAGACGTCGGTGTCTAGGGAATTCGGATGCCAATATTTCAAGAATTCGGATATCAGTAGCTAGAAGATTTAGACCTCAGTAGCAAGTGAATTCAGACGTCGGTGTCTAGGGAATTCGGATGCCAATATTTCAAGAATTCGGATATCAGTAGCTAGAAGATTTAGACCTCAGTAGCAAGTGAATTCAGACGTCGGTGTCTAGGGAATTCGGATGCCAATATTTCAAGAATTCGGATATCAGTAGCTAGAAGATTTAGACCTCAGTAGCAAGTGAATTCAGACGTCGGTGTCTAGGGAATTCGGATGCCAATATTTCAAGAATTCGGATATCAGTAGCTAGAAGATTTAGACCTCAGTAGCAAGTGAATTCAGACGTCGGTGTCTAGGGAATTCGGATGCCAATATTTCAAGAATTCGGATATCAGTAGCTAGAAGATTTAGACCTCAGTAGCAAGTGAATTCAGACGTCGGTGTCTAGGGAATTCGGATGCCAATATTTCAAGAATTCGGATATCAGTAGCTAGAAGATTTAGACCTCAGTAGCAAGTGAATTCAGACGTCGGTGTCTAGGGAATTCGGATGCCAATATTTCAAGAATTCGGATATCAGTAGCTAGAAGATTTAGACCTCAGTAGCAAGTGAATTCAGACGTCGGTGTCTAGGGAATTCGGATGCCAATATTTCAAGAATTCGGATATCAGTAGCTAGAAGATTTAGACCTCAGTAGCAAGTGAATTCAGACGTCGGTGTCTAGGGAATTCGGATGCCAATATTTCAAGAATTCGGATATCAGTAGCTAGAAGATTTAGACCTCAGTAGCAAGTGAATTCAGACGTCGGTGTCTAGGGAATTCGGATGCCAATATTTCAAGAATTCGGATATCAGTAGCTAGAAGATTTAGACCTCAGTAGCAAGTGAATTCAGACGTCGGTGTCTAGGGAATTCGGATGCCAATATTTCAAGAATTCGGATATCAGTAGCTAGAAGATTTAGACCTCAGTAGCAAGTGAATTCAGACGTCGGTGTCTAGGGAATTCGGATGCCAATATTTCAAGAATTCGGATATCAGTAGCTAGAAGATTTAGACCTCAGTAGCAAGTGAATTCAGACGTCGGTGTCTAGGGAATTCGGATGCCAATATTTCAAGAATTCGGATATCAGTAGCTAGAAGATTTAGACCTCAGTAGCAAGTGAATTCAGACGTCGGTGTCTAGGGAATTCGGATGCCAATATTTCAAGAATTCGGATATCAGTAGCTAGAAGATTTAGACCTCAGTAGCAAGTGAATTCAGACGTCGGTGTCTAGGGAATTCGGATGCCAATATTTCAAGAATTCGGATATCAGTAGCTAGAAGATTTAGACCTCAGTAGCAAGTGAATTCAGACGTCGGTGTCTAGGGAATTCGGATGCCAATATTTCAAGAATTCGGATATCAGTAGCTAGAAGATTTAGACCTCAGTAGCAAGTGAATTCAGACGTCGGTGTCTAGGGAATTCGAACAATAGTGTTTAGAGAATTTAGGCTTCAATAAGTAGTGAATTTGGATTCCAATATTTAAAGAATTCGGATCTCGCAATCAGTATCTAGAGCATTCGAATCCCATTATCTAGAAAATTTTGAGCCCAATGTTTAAAGAATTTGAACTTCAATACGTAGAGAATTTAGACCTCAGTATCTAGAGAGTTCAAACCTCAATATCTAGAAAATTTGGTCCTCAATATTTAGCAAATTTGAATCTTTAGCAATACCTAGACAATTCGGACCTCAGTAGATAGAGAATTCGAACCTCGACATCTAGAGAATTCGGTTTCAGTATCTAAAGTATTCAAACCCCAATATCTAGAGAATTCAGTCTTCGTTATATATAGAATTCGGATCCCAATATTTAGAAAATTCGGTCCTCGGTATCTGCGGAATTCGAATCTCAATACCTAGAGAATTCGTACCTCCACATCTACAGAACCCTAACCTCAATATCTAGAGAATTCGAACCTCAGTATCTGGAGAAAGAAGCCCTATTATTTTTAAATCTTCTTGCACACTTCTCAATATTTTCTACTACTAGTTCTTGGGACAAGTGTCTTACGTTTAAACTGGGGTCTAAATAGACCCCATGCTAAAATCCGAGTGTTCAGAACTAATTATTAATAAAATAATAAAAATGACTAAGTAAATATAAATAAAGGAATCGTTGAAAAATAAAATTCTCTCAAGTGAAGCATACTATTTGGTGTAGACTGTCCCTTCCACCCTACTATTTTGAACTACACCAGTGTGTTGAGGAATCTGGAGATGGATGTGAAAATGTTGATGAGGGTACAACTCACTTTAAGCAGTTGTATCAAATATAATAAATATATGTCATATATATGTAAACAACCAGGTTAAAAAATTATTTAGAAAACAAATATTTGCTTCAGTATTATCAGAAAAATAATTTTCAAAGCTTACGTTCTTTTCGTGAAAATAAAAAATTTGTTACTTTTTTAAATTAACTAACATTACAAAATGCTTTCGACAAAATTTTGTTCGTGAAAACTTCATCTATCATAATAATTTCACGATATTATTGCTCTTTTGTGTTACAGGGAGCTGCTCAACAATTGCAATCGTTGGTCAGAAACGGCACCAAAATCGTGTCCGATGTGGTGGGATAAACGTAACGAAAAGAAAATGAAATTAATATATATACATAATCTATACGATAAGAAATTAATTCGCATATGGAAAAATTGAAAACGATGCAAGTGTGATAATGATAATCTAGAATGATCTACGTCGAAATACTTTTTACTTCGGAGGGTGCAGTTATAATACCTCGGATAAGTATTCACTGTCAATTCACTCACAGATCGGACATTTTTTATGAATATTATCAACAGACTAGGTACTTGCTTGATGTTGGAAAGAAGTTCGTCGAATTCTATCCTATTGTTTATAATCGTATTACGTGTTATAGTTACTAATTGATTACGTATTCTAGATTAATCAATGTAGCTAATAGCGGGCATGATATTTTTAACGGTGGCTCAATTATTATTTCTTAAAACACGGAGTTGAGGAATAACCGATTCATTCTGACTACGTTTCAAATGGTATAACGAAGAAATTTCACAATTTGAACATTAAATGATTTCATTCGGACACGAAACGATTAATAATTTAAGTGATTAACAATTTAAAAAAATTTTTCAACTATTAGAATTCTATGAAAATTTAAAAACAAGTATCACGATCAAAAATGTTGAATAACATTATAAAAATGGAAAAAATGGACAACTTTTAATCGTCTCCAAGTTTATTATTTTCTTTAAAAATAATAATAATTATTATGTAAAAATTATAAGATATTATAGATAAATAAACACATAAATATAATATCACAACAGTATTAAAAATTGAACACACTTTAATAGTTTCAAAGAAGATTATTATTTAAGAGAATTATTACTAGAACTTTGTGAACATTGGAAATTGGTCTAAACTATTACAATTCCAAATTTTATATTGGAATATTACAAAGAGAAACGTACGAATATGAAAATTTCCAGTAGTCTCCGAATAATTCAAATCCAAATCTAAAGGATCTTCGTCTGGAATTCCATAAACCCGATCAAGATAAGGCAAATCGATACCACGAATACTACATCCCAACGAGACAGGGGGCAAGAGAGTAAGAACAGAATTAAAAAGACATGAAAAAATTTCACACCAAGTCCACCACCAGAATCCAACTTCGATTCTTCAAGATTCACGAAAAAATACAACTGTAATTTCTGCTGAAACAATCGAACGAGCATTTCCCCTCCGTGTTTTAAGCGTACAAGACAGTATCTCTGAGCGGAGAGGTCCGACATCGATGACGAAATCAATACGAAGTCTCGAGCGAATACGAGTTGCGAACGCGAGTCGACGCCTTGCAAACGTTTCTTGGGGTAGGGCCGAGCGAGCCGGGCCCCTCTTCGCTCCTCGCCGGCCGCCATACCTCTTTGAGACATTTGTAACGTTCGTCGCAATTAAGGTAATTAATCGGGGCTGGGGGGGCGACGCGCCTCGTCACGACTCGCGAGACAGTGACGATCCGCGGCGTCCCACGTGTGAAACGCGGATCGATTTGCGGGGCCCACCCACAAAGATCGACTTAACCACGACCTCGTCGACGACGATGCTTGCCTGAGGAGAAGGTGGTAACTTAAACGTATATCTCTGAATGGGAGCGAGCATGAGAAAGAATGCGTGCACGTGTATGTATGTGGGTATAAAAGAAACAAAGCGATAGAGAGAATAAGCGAGAAAGAGAGGGAGAGAAAGAGTAAGACAAGGGTACATAGAGAAGCGTGAAGGGAGAGCATTGTGTGTACAGTTCGCGGGCACCTTTCGCCGCTGGTGCGTCGCGTTCCTTTTCTCCTTTTTATATAATAAAGCTGCAAGCGTGTGCACGATCCTTGGGTCTTGTTTATCTTTCGTTCGTACGTGTGGTAGCTCGGTGGTAATGGTAGCGCTGAGTAATAAGCTTGGTTACTTAACGGCCGCGTTAAGGGTTGAAACGCTGACGGGTATTTCCCTATCTGGCACACCAGCGACGCCGCGTGTCAAGCAGCGCAACTAATCGTCGCGTCGTCGATTTTTATCGACCGAGAAACTGTCGATCAGTCGTAGCAGTTCGGTGGAATTACAATTCTCCCGAGATATCCGTCTTTGTTTTCCGGCTTAGGTGTATAATATCGTTAATAGTACGACTCATGAAGCGTTGTTTGTAAATCGATGATATAATAAACGTTTTGGGAAATGTAGACCCGGGAAACGGTCATAGTTTCTTTTCCCCTCAATTCCCGATTTTTCTTACTCCTTCTTACTCCTTCTTACTCCTTATCGAGAATATTCTTCGTTAACACTAGAACTACCAACCCAGTCGAAATGACTGGTCCTAGAATTTTGCTTTTCGCAATCACCGAACGCATACACCGCTTTATAACCCCTTGACTACGGCAGACTTTGATACGTAGTGGCCATACCATACGGCAGGAATTGAGTTACGATGTGCGCCATTTTTGTGAAAACAAGCGCCCTCCGTGTCAGAAAGCCAAACTACGGCGAGCGCCTATAGACGCCTTCTGTGTCACAAATGCAAAATTTCTAAGCGCATATGGGCGCCCTCCGTGTTACAAACGCAAAATTTCTAAGTACCTATAGGCGCCCACAGTAGCCAAGGGGTTAAGAATAAAATTGGTATCAACTCATATTAAGAAAGAACTGTAATCAATATATTCACTCATATTCATCGTACTCGTTGAAATTACTATAATCTGTGCACCTTATGGTTAGGTACACATTAAAGATCGGTAGTTCTAGTGTTAATGCTTTGTACGCTTTTGACAAAATTTTCGATTCTCCTCTAATATATGTATAAAGGTATATTTACAAATAGAGACTGGGGAAAATGGTATATGAAATTTGTGAACACTTTTTCACGAGGTTATAAGATTGCACAAATTAAAATTTTTAACATCCATGCTATTTTTAAATTATTATATTATATCCAGCATTCGTGTTATATGGAATTTTTTAATTTCCAATTTTCTGTGAATTAATTTAGCAAATTTCATGTACAGCTATTTTCATAATTTTATAGTTCTTCATAATTAGAAATCAATATGAACTATGATAAGATCGTCATTTTCTTTTTAAAGATGTTTATTATTTGCTTATAACTTTGAAACAGAGTGTTTCTAAACGTCATGGAATATCTTTCTCTCATCTTCATTTATAGGTTATGGTCTTGCAGTTTTGTCAAGATAGTAGAATACACCTTACACGAAGCCAGATAAATAATTCAGAGATGTAAAGATACTATTTTAGGATAAATAATCAAACATAGGTATATTATAAGCTTAAAATAATATTCGTTGATGTAATACAATATAACAAGGTCAGTATAACATGGGTTTTATAGGTTCACATTGATTAGCATATGCACGATATAACTAAGTATAGTAAAGTGAACTCAGTGCAGTAAAATAAACTCGATACAATATTACCTAGTATGGTACAACGTAGTATACCTATAACGTAAACTCAGGTATGTACAAATGAGCAAAGTACGTCATTGCTTTTATTTATTATTCCTTGTGACACCTGCTGCCATGTTTATTCGTCACAGTCGTTTCATTTGTATCACTTCGGAGCAGAACGGAAATTGTTATTCTGAATAGCTCCAGACACAATATCCGTTACCATAGCATAATCAGAGTGTGAAGATATAAACTTGTTTTCATCGACGTGATTAGCTCGCGTGATACATGTATACGGTTCAATTGTGAACCACGATAGAACCCCGATCGTTGCATGAAAACCTCGTTCGTCGCATTCCGGCAACACATGGCGGGAATGGCACGAAAAAACAAATAATAATCAACAACATGAGAATCGTGATCGCTAATCGTACGATTAGTTACACCCGGGCTCGAGCGATACAGCAAGATCGTAAAATCAGTCGAGCGCAAAAGTACAAACTTTCTGACTTACGGAGTACCAACTTAACACTTTCATGGAGGGCGTCACGCATGCGTGGTTATCGCGAATATTTTTTCTGGCCACTGAAACTGTTTTGGTAATAGCGAAAAAGCAGGTTTTCTATTGAGTGACTACTAAAATTTTCGTTGTGTAGACAGTTATGCCATTTTATTATAAATAAACGTTAATGTTATTATACCAATTTTGAAATTTGCGGTATAAATGAAAACAGGGTTATTCTACGCGAAAAAATAAGTCGAAAGTGTAAAATAAAATTTTCTCGCACGAGGCTTCGTTTTTGAGAAAATTAGCTTCAAACATTTGTGCGCTGAGCACGCGATTCAACATTTCGTTATCTACCGTTATCTTTGCACATGCTTTCCTTTATAAAGCTTCTAATGACACGAATTTGTTGCCTTATTCTTTCAATCGGGTATGCATTAACTTGCAAACATGGCTACGTATATTGCCCGCAAACTGACAAATATTTGGACTCAATTTTTTCAAAAATAAAGCTTCGCGTGAGAAAATTTTGTTCCATATTTTCGACTTATTTTTTCACGTAGAATCAAGATTGCATAATTACAGAGCACCCTGTATATCGATATTTTATCCATAATCGTTGATAATTAAATTCACATTTACGTAACGCTTTCCGTGAAAGCGTTGAGATCTTTCGGAAAGATAAAGAGCACCAGTCAATTTCAAATATGTCGATTTCTAACGAGTTCTTTCATTTCTAGGTATTAGAGACGGGGGTTTACGAGAAGGTAAAGGTCTTTCGAATGTTCGAAATACTAAACAGAATTTAGAGGTTATAAATCGAAAACAAATAGCAGTTAATAATAGATCTACCCATATAACGTGTCTTTTAATATAGTATACAAAGATAATAATGAAACTGGTATGATGTCAATACATAGGTATTTACATTACGTTACATTTTTACGCGACTAAAAGTCAACGTATTTTTACGAAAACTAGATACCTGCTGTTAACAACCGCAAAAACTCCGGAACCAGTCATTTCGACTCGTTTGGTAATTTTAACGTTAATGGTTTAATTTAAAATTGCAAGGTAATCAAGAATTTTTTTCCACCTTATTGGCGTTAAATACATACAGCTACAAACTGCAGGCGAACGT